TTTGTTCAAACTTGAAGGCGAGGTCCGTATAATTTACCCTAATGTTTTGTTCGGTAGGAAGAAAGGAACAGGGGTGGAAGAAAAATAAGAAGAAATTAACGAACTTCCTTCATTCGGTAGAGAGAAAGACAATGAGAGAAATGATATTAAAAGGAATTAGTCATCATTCCTCCTCTACAAAATTTCATCCCTTCAATTATAGGCTGAGGAAATGAGGGAAGATAAGTGGTGTTATTATGTTAGTTTTGAATTACGATACTATCTTAAATTATATAACTTTTAAATTACAATATTATTTTCTATAAATTACAATATTATAAAGAGTGATGAATATAATAGTAAAAATAATTTAAAACTCTCTCTTCACTTCTATCCTAACGAACAAAATAAATTGTGGGCTTATTCTCTTCTCTTCCATCAAAAAAAAAAAAAAAGGAATGATATTCCTTCTTCTCTCTATTCCATTCAAATTTTTTCTTTCCTACCAAACAAAACATAAAAAAATAAATTAATAAAAAGTAAAATCACAACAAATAAATATTGTTTAAATCAAATGGCAAACAAGAAAAAAATTATTGCAAAATAATATGCTAATCAATTTCTTTCCCCTATATTTTCCTCCCTCCGATCCTACCAAACGCATTACTAGTGATGTCATGATATAAATATATGATTGCAAATTTGTACACATGCACGCACAAGCTACGAAGCATGGATATAAGACGAAGTGGACAAGGAATGTATCAATCTAAACTCAAATTTGAATCCAATAATATCAATATTCGTAGCAAAGTTCAAATCTCAATCAAATCCAAACGTCCACCTTCCCCCACACAATAATAATAAGGATTAGATCTTGTAAAGGAAATCCTTGGTCCATTCCAAGGTAAAATGGATTTTGGATGACCGGATCTTGGATCAAATCAATTTCACGCTTTAAACAAAACTAAATAATAATTGCAAAAATGAGGAGTTAGGGGGTGTGACTGAAGCAATATCCTCATACTAATTATATAGTGTTGCACTCTATATATATAACACATAAACAATTAATTGATTAATTATTTTATTTAATGCTTAATTATCTTAATTTGTTGTTAACAAAAAGCATAATAATAATGCTTATCTAACTAGGATTAATAAAGGGTTTTAAATTTTTTGGAGAAGAAAAATAGCATATTCCACCGATCAAAAGTAAAAACTACACCTTTTATCCTGTAAAGTTGGCATATTGGTTGAGAATCATAGGGGTGCACAAAAAAACAGTGGAACCGAACCGGAGCTCAGTGCATGTTCTGAAAATCTAGAACCGTTAGTTAACGGTTCGGTTCCAGTTCCAACCGAACCATATAATATATATATATATATATGGTCATACAGTACTAGACTTACCGCATGGTTCATGTTAGTGGACTTAGTCAATAATCATTGACTCATTGTAAAGTTGTAAACCACAAGAAGTTAAAAACAATGTAAACCTAAACCTACCTAAGTTCCTAACCTCTCAGTCTCTCATCTCATCTTTGAAGGTTTGAAGCCACCTATTCAGTCCTGTCACGTTCTGTATCACAGTGTTAGTCTCTTCTCATCTTCTGTATCACAGTATCACCGATTCGCCTCTGTTGAACTTTGATTCGTGGTTCCAGTCTCTCATCTTTTCAAACCGACACACCTAGTTGTTGTCTCAGGCCTCTGTTTGTTGCGGTTGAACTTTGAAGCCGCCTCTCACCATCTCAGATCTACACCTACACACCGTTGTAACTCCATCGCTTTGGGAAACCGTGGAACTGAACCAAATCAGTAGTCATGGTTTGATTCGGTTTCATATATAACGGTTCCAATGCCGGTTCCAGTTTTGATTCCGTCACGTGTGCACCCCTAGAGAATCACTACCAAGGTTGAATTCTTGGTTTAGCTAACACTGTAACACAAAATTTGTCTTAATAGATTGGTGCACTTTTTACAACTTGGACTTTTTGCAACGGTAAAGTTCATAGTTTTGGTAGCAAAAAGCACAAATTTCATGGCAGTTAGTTACTTAGCAAAAATATGGTGCATACGATAGTTATTTGCAACGAAAGTTCGTTTTCGTTTGCTATTGCTGGATATTTAAATATGCTCCGTCTATAAATGTATATACCTTTCTCAAAAAAAACGGCCAATTCCTTTTGAGACAGGAAGTTTGGGCCCAAAAAGTTTTTTTGTATCAGTACACTGAAGGAAGGACAAAAAAACACAAAAATTTCCATTGCTCCAACGGTGTTGTCTGAAAAGGTTTCATCACTTTTAGCAATAAACTTGAGATTGTCGTTAAAGCTAATTTTAAAATAAAGTGATGGAGGACCTGATTGAGCTTAGGATTGCCTATGCTAATGGTGTGAGAATAAAGTCAAACATAGTTCAATATGGGAGGCTGCCGTGGCGAGAGAGGGTTTCCTAAAGATGAGAGGCTAGCATGGTGAGAGCTAGATATCAAGTTTATACAAAAACAATTTTGTTACTAAGAACAAGATTAAAACATAAAAGCTTTTGCAACGAAAATTATTTTTGGTGCAAAAGCATCATTTCTGTTGTAGAGGCATCGGATGAATACATGTATGGAAGTGATTTTTCAAAGGTAGAAGTGATTTTTCTAAGGTTGGGTACGGATCAGATCAATTTGGATTAAGGGCCCAATTTGGTACCAACGAATTGATGAAATTTCAATCTGATCCAATATGTGAGAATACTCATTTGGATCCGTGAAACATCGGATTGGATTGGACTTTTTCCAAACGGCCCAATTTTATTATTTTTTAAATTATGCGGCATAAATGAACTGTAACTAATTTCCTTAATTGTAACACTCCTCCAATAGGCTCAATCTAAATTTTACACAGCATCAACCTACCAGTGTCAATTGCCAACCTATCATAAAAATTTAAAACAATGAAATGCAACATATTTTATTAACACAAGTACACAACAATTACACATTAACATTTATATATTTTGCTAATTTACTAAAATAAAGATTATACAATTATACTATATATACAATTAAATTTCTTTCCCTCAAAGTTGCTCATATATTATGAACTTTATATATATATATATATATATATATATATATCTATTAAGTTTCATTAATAATTAATAATTTTCTCAATCCGTCGCCGATCCATGATACTAATTGGATCGAGTCGGATTGACGGATTAAATATTTACCTCTATAATTCTAAAATAATTCAACTAATTCTCGAAAACCGTAGTTATTTAAGAACACCTTTATGATCCTGACTTTTAAACGATTACTTACAAAAAAAAAAAAAAAAAAAACTTTTAAACAATTACATACTAAATGGGACCAAGTGAACATCCTTGGGTTCCAACCTAAGTCACACGATTCGCTGTATAGGGTGCCACTCCAAAGCTCCGAATGCGAATCAACGATTTGAGAACGGATACGGCTGCAATTCGCGAATTCAAGTTTTGCAATTCGCGAATTCAGATTTGAAGTTCGCATATGGAGAAGTAGACGAAGTTTTTTGCATCTGGAGAGAAGAGGAAGAAGAAGAATGATTGTTGCAGACTTGTCGAAGCTTGAGGTACATAGAGACATCAAAGAACAACCTCTCCAATCCAGAGGCTTGAGAACTTGAATAGAAGTTGAAATTGCCCTAGCCTCTATTGTGCCGCCGTTGTGCCCTTCTGTTGTGCCGCCGTTGTGCCCTAGCCTCTGTTGAGGTTGAGTGGTTTGTTTGGTGCTATAATGCTATACGCGTATATGCATATAGATGATGTTTTCTTGGGCCCGGCTGTTGTTTTTAGGCCTTTATTGTTGGCTTTGTTTTGTTTTAAATGTATTCTCCCAATGGCCCAATATATATTTATCTATCTATAAAATTGCCCAACTTTCTTAAAAAAATATTATATATATATATATATATATATATATATTAATGTTAGTAGACAATAATATATTTGAAATACAATAGCAACAACTATATATATATATATAATTAATATAATCATACTTTTTTCCTTAAATTAATAGTCATATTTCACATAAAATAAATATATAATATACACACTTTCGGGGCATTCCTGCTCTCACCTAATTTTAAGCTTTGTCGCTCTCGCTCCCGCTTTCGTTCTATGCGACTTAGGTTCCAACAAACAAACAGTGTATATTATCAAACCAAATCTTTAATTTTGTACTGGTTTTTATGACACATGTATTACTCAAAATTCTATTGAAATATCATGGCTCGGTCGCTTGAATAGGTCAATACTCAATATACTTTAATTTTGTATTGTTGTTGATTATCATTTGATTAATTAATTTTATTTTTTTATTTTATTTTATTTTTATTTTTATTTATTTTTGTGCTGAAAGCTTGTTCTGATTGTACTTAGAGGTCCTACGTCCGTCTCACATTGTACTCCACATTTCCAGGATATAGTTGAAATTAGACCTTTTCACTTACTCTTCTATGTATCAAAGGTGCCAGCAATGCGCATTTAAATGACTGCCGTGTTGACTTCACTTTCTTCCAAAGTTAGGCCGATGACCAGAAAAAGCCGCCAACAGCGAACGAAGAAAATGCCTAAGAGTATTTGAAAGAACCAAATTGACAACTTGAATTTGAAATTAAAAGAAAATTGATTAAAACTTTGAACTAAATTTTCTCTAATTCCGAATTCAAAAGCATTACCAATTCGGTGGCTCCCAAACCCCAAATTCAAAAGCCCTACCAATTCGGTGCTCCCAAACGCAACATCAATCTCAAATCCAAAACACCGATTCAGTAATCCCAAACCTCAAATCCAAAACACCGATTCGGTAATCCCAAACGCAACATGATGTAATTTCCTAGCTCAGGTACACGCATCTTTTCTGCTGTGGCACCTGCAGCTGCATTACCTACAGCACAAACTGGCAAGTTTAGGGTTTTGACAGGCTTCCAAGATAACTAAGGCCCAATTAGTGTGAGCACAAAGAGAGGCAGAGGAAGTGATGGTCTCGAAGTAAAGTTCATCATAATACCAGTATTTATTACAACTACCAAGGTCTCAAATATATGAACAATTCCCTAAGGTGAAACATCTAATCTCTTTCTTCGACAAGTTCGTAATGCAATATAATCATCGCAAGAATTGGTGAAGCAGAGCATCTCCAAGTGTTTCAAGGAAAAACTTAAATCTGCGCTCCGGCTATGAATGGAAACCCAATAAAGGATATTCACGTATGCTAACAGAGCTAAGAACGCAGTAGTGCTGAGATCTTGATAGAAGCAAAGACTGAGATTTTCTCCCCTTAGCATGAATTTCTGTCATCCTCTTTATTTCCTCTTTCCTGTGCCAATGGTTAGCAGCTCGAAACTCCGCAGAGTATCATCACGGCCACCTCTTGCAGCTGCAGCACGAGTGAAAGATGATGATTTAGACTCGAACCCAGGTTGGATCCTGTGGTTAGCGGACAGTCGACCACTGCCGGAGCCTAGCCGGCTCGCCCGATTCTCACTGGGTTCACCAGAAGAACTTGGCCGGCTGCTTGACATGACAACCCTCTTTGAAGTACTGCCATTTCGACGGCTTCGTTCGGGATCAGCTTGCTGAACAGCACAGGTAGGGAAGTAAAGCACAATAGTGAATTTATATTTGAAAGAAAGAAATGAGCCTTTGATCCACTTGAAACCAGATCAAAACAAAAGGAATTAAAATTTACATCAAAGAAACCATACATTTTCCATTGTCAATACTTACCACATCCTTGGATGATGGTATATCCTCTGAAGATCTGTGCCTGGAGTGGTCACCATGCAAGCCAGTACCAGAACCATTCCTTCTAGCAAATGCCTCAACTGCACCTGAGAATTTATCTCGAATCTCTTGTCTCACTAGATGACAATACATAATGGAAAACGCTGAAAATTAATATTCACGCTATTTCCTAATAGGCTGCATAAACTTTTACAAATATAAATGCGCATGGCAGTCTGGAAAAATTAAGACAAAAATATACATACGTAACATATGTTTTTATATAATAAACTTGGTTCTAGTTAAATTCAATTTTCAGCAATATACATTTGGTTTCATAATAATGATCCAATAAAATTTCAATAATTATATTTAATGTAATACAAAGAATTAACAAGTTGACAACATACTGCTATTTCAGCTTAAATATATGTCTGCATCCAACCAAAAGAACATGTTAAATATATGTCTGCTATTTCATAGCAACAGCGATGGAGTGAAAATACTATAACGTGACGTAATCTCCGGTTGCTTTATTTTTTTCTTGAGCTAAATAACTTTTCTTAAAATGATGGAAAGCAACAAAATGTGAGAAACAGTAAGTGTGAGAGTGATAATAAAATGAAGTGGTAGATGGTACAAAATTTGAATAAAGTCGAGAATTTTTTAATTTATTTTTGATAAGTTTGAATGAAGTAGAGAATTAAGGCAAGAGAGTGGCTTCAGCTCCCATGATTTTTAAATTTTTTTTTAAAAAAATGGTATAGAATTTCATAGGTAGACTTATAGGACCAACCTAATGGTGAAAGACCAAAAAAGGGTAAGAGAAAGAATGAATGTAGAGGAGGGCATAAAAAGTAAAATCATGCGTGTGTACATATTCATACAAATGTGTGTGTGTGTGTGTGTGAGAGAGAGAGAGAGAGAGAGAGAGAGAGAGAGAGAATCATGTCAATGAGAAATAGAGGGTGAAGGAAAAGAGGAGAAAAAACAAGTGAATAAGAAATATATATATACAAATAAAACTGGAAGCATAATTTTTTACAAAAATTAAGAAGTCCTGTGCAATACACCGCTCTAAACGATTTAAGGGCACTATGAGGGCAGCATCAAAGTTTCAAGTTCCAAAATATTAATGCAGCTCCAGCACAGACAAGGTTAGTCCAGAAAATCCAGATTCAGGAAATGAAAAGCAAAATTGTCTTACAAAAATTCTAAAAGATCTTAACTATTTAAACATGAAACTCCTCAACTCATTCTCAAGCATTGCTGAAAAAATGGAACAGACCTGGAGTCTTGTCTATTCTTTCCGCAGATGGTCCTGGGTTCAAAGGTAATTTCCCGACTGGCTGCTGAAAGAGAACATTAAGAGTAAGATTAAAAAAAAAAAAAAATCATCCATTGAGGAATAAATGATAATCATTGTACAATTTTGAGAAGAACCAACCCGTCCTCTAGAACTGGATCCAATCTGCGGGTACTTCAAAATGGTCCAGTCAAAAACATAGTCAAACTGATAACCTGCACTAATTACAACAGTCCAAACATTTACAATGTTACAGAACTAACAAGACACTGCTCTTGGTTGAAGTTGAGATCTTCAGAAAGAAAATTAAATATCAAAATAAGTATAAAGGTAAACATAAGTAAGAGGATACGGAGTTCAAAAGTAAATTTTACCTTCTCGAATAAACAGGTCACGGAAAAGCCTCTTTAAGTATGAATAATCTGGTTTGTCATCAAACCGTAATGATCGACAATAGTGGAAGTATGAGATGAATTCTGATGGATGAGATTTGCAAAGCACCTGTGAACAATGCTTAAGATTTCATATAAATATAGTTAACTAAGCTACATAATGCTAAAACTTCAAGCAAATGAAGGACAAGCAGCAGTTAGGATGTCAAGCAGAACATCCAACAACCCAACTGTTGTCCCATCACAACCTTCTACAATAAATTTAATATTATGGAACAACTTTCCAAGAAAAGCCACTTGCAGGAGAAAGACAGTACCTCTATTGGAGTCAGCATCTTCTTTTCACTGATTTTATCATATTTCTGCTTTTTAGTGCCGGCTTTCAAACCCTGCCAGGGAAGGCTAAGGAAGGAGAATCATAAGAAGTCAGTGTTATGTGAAATGCTACATGAAAAAATAAGTGAAGAATGGCTCTTGATAATATTACCTTCCCCTCAGAAAATACATAAGCACATAACCAAGAGATTCCAGATCATCCCTTCTGCTTTGCTCTGCATGCAATAATACCACATTAAAATTAGATAAAATGTGAAGTTAAATGAATTTGAATATTTGATAGCAAGAATGAGAACCATCCTCAGTTAATAGTTGCAAAACATTTAACTTACCAACTCCAAGGTGGGTGTTAACACTTGCATAGCGAGCTGTGCCCGTGAGATTTTTGTTTTCCCTGTGAAAAAAAAATCCAAATTTGTTCAATTCAAATATTCATAGGCTAAAGGCTTAGGGAGGAGGATATAAGGTTCAGAGTAGTGATTAAGTAAACAAATAAATAGAAAAACCACAATGACTGAGAATGTAATTACATAAAAATAAAATGTAAGTGATTGAGCTGAATAACAGCTGTCATATAGATTAGGGTTCTATCAGTTGTCATATATTTTTACCATTTGAGTCAAAAACTTGAACCATAATTTAATCTTTATGATTCACAACAATAATTAATTCAACTAGTAAATATTTCAATCAATTTTGTTGAACTTCCAACAATTGAATTTCTTAAAGCAATAAATTCAAAGAAAGAAGATATTGCATTTCTGGCAACAACTGGTATTGAATATCATGACATGTGTCAGGACTAACAGTAACAGAAGAAGATTAAAGAATAGTTCAAGTTTCTATTCAAAAGAAATTCCAGTTCCTCAAGTTTAGTCCAATCTTGATAATGCCAAGATAAAAATTTCATGTCTCCATTCTAGCATTATGTGGGCCCTGGAAATCCATTGTGAATTGTTTCGAGGGGCTGTTCTCCCAAGGCAGTAGGACCTATAGGTTTTAAGGTATGAGATGACTGAAAAAACAATCAATTTATATGCATTTGGAGCAGAACTACACGATCTTTTTAAAGGAATTTCCAAGCTTGTATGCAGTTTACAGTTACATTTAGCAGAAGCATGGAAAGATGATCCATCAAAGAGAAAGAAAAAGAAGCATGGGTAATTGACAATGTTGCTTGGTAAGAAAAGTATCTTTATTTTTCTAGCAATTCTCATGATTAGGAGTTTTAGATAGTTTTACAATTCTTTGTGAGGCTTTTCTTTGCCATATTGGAATGAGTTCAACTAATCTTTTAACCATGTCATTCTATCATCATTAAAAATGTTACAACGCCAGTGTTGTCTCCGTCAGGAGCTTTGAGGGTGCTTGTACTCCTTCAGAGGTGGCTTTCTTTGTTGGTCTGCAGCCAAAGTTATATGCTTCATGGTGCATCACCTGATTTGCAGAGGTTGGATGTATCCTGATAGATGTAGCGCGTGTAAGTGCCAAAAAGAAATGGTGACACTTGTCTTACTTGAATATGCTTTAGATTAGAACCTTTACTCTATCCTCTTTTCTTCACCGGAGATGTCTTTGGCCATATCAAAATCAAACATGGGCTTGCTTAGTGGTGGGTGGATTAAGGGTAGAGGTAGAATCAGAATATCATTTTGGAATGTTTCTCTCTGCCTCAAAATGGTGCTTTTAGAAATAGAATAATCATTGCACTTTCAAAAATACTGGTTTAAGACTTATGGAGTTCTCAATAGGATAATGTTCACTGGGAGTTTCCTCTCTTAATCACCACCCAATTACTTCATCATATTCCTTGTGCAAATTTTGCCCATAATATGATTGCCATTTCCAACTTTCAATGACATTTCTTTTAGTTACAAAAGAAATTAATAATTTCATGTTAACATGTTAAAATATTACACCAACACCACCATAATGAAAACAAAAAAGTGGTATCTCAAGTTTCATCATATAAAACAAAAACAGACTAATCTATTGGTTCATTTCCTTTAATCTCATATTTAGTCAAAATGGGTGCTTAATCATCTCAGAGAAGAATGTCAGTGGGAAACTTGGGAAAACAAATACTACATGATATATTGACCATCCATGTACATAAGAACACTTCTTATTTCTTTATTTATCCCCATCATAAACTTTAATAAACAGAAAGTGCCAAAAGGCCACTATTGAAAACCACGTATTGTGGGATAAATTGCAACTCAGATATATAATAGGAAAACTCCTTTCACTCACCTTTGCTTTCTAATCCACACTATAAACATAACAATGAACCATCAAAACAACATGGCAAGCTTTTTATAAACACAAACACACACTAACTACTGTGGCATTGTCATTGCCTACCAAAATGAGAGAAGAAAAAAGTGCCACAGGAGCAAAATGCTTAAAGAGAACAGCAGAAGGTATTATATCATGTTCTCAGGAAAATATAGAAGATCACATCTATACCTGTATGGTATGTGTTTGTGTGTTTGGAGATCTCTATACTTCTTTGCAAGGCCATAGTCAATGACATATACCTGTTGTAAAATAAAACCAGCAAAAAGAAGTTGAGCTATAACTGCACTACGCAACTCCTAAAACATGCCCAATTTTCAATTTTAAAGTGAGAGACTGCAGAAAAGTCTAAATTTTGTCTGCCTTAACAATTCCGTCAAAAACCACAGCACTCAAGGAGCAAATACATTTCTCAAAGAAATATATAATTGATTGCTGATCTAGCAAGTGCAACCTCATGTGAACTTGACAAAATAAAGTTTGTATTGGTCATTTTAAATCTCTTTTTGGTATTTCCAGATGTAATTCACTTACGATGTTATGAGCCTGACAAGATTTGAGCCCATCCCAACTCAGCACAACAAAATGTACAAACTTCTTTTCCTACTTTCTTTTTTCTTTCAATAACTGTGAACATCCCCAATAACCATTTACAGTTAAACATATACATATATATGTATGTAATTATAAATTTCACTAGTACTTGTGGTCATGGACAAAAAAACAACGGGGAGGGGGGGGGGGGGGGGGGGAAAAAAAAAAAACATTGAACTTCTAAGCTGATTTTGTGGAGCCTAAAGCTACCAGTTAATCAAAAACACTCCTTCCATTCCTTTGAATTGAGACTTCCACAATTATGCTCCTCCTTATTAGGAAACTTTAAAAGCTTAAATATTAGGATATGTTTTCGAAAAACAACTATTGCTGACAGATTAACTAGCTAAAGTGTTCTTCATACGTTATCCAATCAGATACGCAAAAGATGATAATGTTAGTTTCGAATAAAGGGTGAATGCGATGATGCAATAATTATGAGATGAAGCCGATAAATGAATTTTTATTTTTATTTTCCATCACATTAAAGCTTCATGTAATGAATCATCAAAGGTCCCATCTTTCTATATTGTTTATAACAAAGCTGATTCGGCATCCATAGGAAGAAACTATTAATGACCTAAGCTCAAAAAACAAAGGAATAATTTAAAATACAATTTTAACCTTAACCAAATCAAAACTATAGAGAGTATGACATCAATTAATCTAATGGAAATGATAAGCTAGTTGAGATTAACAACAAAAAGATACACAAAAGTTATGTTGTATGAACTCTCCTATTACCCTCAACACATCTATGTCAGCACAACAAGACATAGACACGAGTATGGGATATGAGTCGAGCACAACCAAACAGATACCCCAATCCTCTACGTGTCATGATGGAAGAAGAAAAAAACTCATATAAACTCCCCATCCTCAAAAGTGGTAGCGTGAGAGCTCAGTCCTCCGCTTAAGTGTGATTTTTAGGAGGGAAGAATTAACTACGGGCTAAACTGGCTAGTTGTTAAATCATCCACACTGCATGTGAGGGAAATAATTTTTGGGAGTAAATACTTCTAATTTCTAAACTCTCATTAAATTTATCAAGCATAACAATCCTGAAAAGTTAGAATCTTCCACACTAATAACTAACAAATGTTTTTACTTCTAGATTGACTTTTAAACCAATGATTTACCTCTGAATTCCCATGCACATCCTGGTCTAACTCAAAAATCATTTTGTCCTCCCCAATTCAACTCTAGGTATTGATGGTCTAGGTTCCGAAAAGTTCATGTTAAAAACTCAGGTCATTTTCACCTGCCCCTTCAATAGTGGAAAGCAAATGCAACAAGAAAATACATTTTCCGATGTTACACCTAAAACAATGTAGTTGCAGAAGTTCTACCTTGTATATTGTAATTATAAAATAATATTTATCGCAATTTACATCTTTAGGTACCAATCTCCATCATACGAAGATTCAATATATATATATATACATAAAATGGGTTAGCTCACACACAAGGCTCACGCCACTGCAGAGTCTAGGGAGGGTCTCATATTAAAACTTCATAATTAAAGTTAAAACTTGAAAGTTCAAAATTGATTCTTTCCTCAAAAAAATATACAAAAAAACAAAATAGAAGTGTCTTTGCATATTTATTACCATATAGTGTATCACTCGTATATAGGCATCGTTACTTGGTAAAATGTTAAAAGCTAAGGGTGACAAGCGCAAAACCCGAGTCCAAGTCTTGAGAGCAACTGTTTTGTGCAAAACAACCTCAAAATAGGTGATGTCCTTTTATTTCTTATCGTATGTATGTGTACCACAAAATGGAGTCAAAATGGGATACATATCAATGATGTGTCTCGTTTTTATGTATAACGTATCATATTGAACGTAAATCATATCATACATTGTAATTCTCAATAAATATGAATCACATATAGATCGTCAAACAAGAAATAATACAATATTTCACACTGAAATGTCAAATGAATCCAACAAGGCACACTGAAAAAGGTTATAACAAAATAGGAAACAATCAACAAAATCCGTGTATGAATGAGAATTCAGAAGTTGCAATCACTCAAGTCAGCACCAATGCAAATGCACATATACAAAAGCACTCCACAGAAAATATACCTGATTTGCTTTGCGCCCTAAACCCATTAAAAAGTTGTCAGGCTTAATATCACGATGTAGAAAACCTCTCGAGTGCATATACTCAACTCTATTTATCTACATATAATATCAGGAAAAACTATAAGTACAGCATCTAGCAAAACTAGTCAAACATTCCAAGACAATTTCATACTTACTAACTGATCAGCAAGCATTAAAACTGTTTTCAAAGTGAATTTCCGATTACAGTAGTTGAACAAGTCTTCTAAGCTTGGCCCAAGAAGGTCAATAACCATGGCATTGTATTCGCCTTCAACTCCAAACCATTTGAGGTGGGGTATACCAGCTTCATTCAATAAATAAATATGTAAAAATGATGTTGATTCGACAAAATAATCAATTGTGTCTGAAAACTCTAGGGAAAAAACATTATAAAGACCCACTCACTTCCTCCCTGAAGAAGCATGTACAATTTTGATTCATAGTGAAGCTGAGGGTGCTTAGTCTTTATTGATTCCTGGAAAAACATAAAATAATAAATAAAATAAGGACCATACCATGACAAGAAAAGTATCTTAATAAAAATTTATAATACAAACGCATTCTTTCTCTTTTTTCTCTGGGATCTATGGATACAAGTAAAAATTAATAAAGTGAACATAACAAAATTAATACAAATAATATATAAATAGTAACCTAAGTGTTGCATCTAAGATTTTTCTCAGGAGAAGTTCCGAATCTGAATCCTCAAATTCTATAAGCATTAGAGGTCAATTAGGTATGCAACTTGTAGATTGGAGTCCAGACCCAAAAGTAGATGGGCCACACCAAACTACCTAATGTATCTAATTGCAAAATATTAGGGAGTTAGGAGAAGTGATACTTTATTTTCATTATTTTGCTTTGACGGTAATTATTCGCAATATAATAGAAAAAGTTTTCAGTTAAGGTTATTGAATTCACATCTTTTCTAACCTAAACCCACATCAGTGGGTGGACAATGCCAAGTGTTTTTGAGAAATATCCTTCAATCTGGGACTCCAATTATATTTTTTACAAACATTTTCATCCATTGATTAATTATAAGATATACTCCCTCCGTCCCATAATATTTGTCCATCTTTCCTTTTTGGGTTGTCCCAAAATACTTGTCCACTTACCAAATACCCTTATTTTTTTCACATCTTTTCATAAAATACCCTTATTTTTATTTTTATTTTTTTGATAAGTAAAAAGTACACTCAAAATTTTAAAAAATTTCAAACTTGATTATATATATATTTAAACTTGAAAGGGTAGTTTTGTAATTTTTGAAGGGGACAATGCAATAATTACATGTCCCCTTAAAAAGTTCTAATCCCCAAAAAGGGAAATCTAATATGGGACGGAGGGAGTATAAATTACAATGTAAAACCTATTTCCAGTCGCATAAATAACCTTCAGAGAAACTTCAAATGCAAATACCAATATCTAAGTTCACATTCCACTATTCCCATCAAACTAAAAAACTTAATATCTACAGTTTGAAATATTTTGTGGTTTTTATATATGAGTTAATCATAAACATGTTGGATAAAAATCTGTAAGAATAATTTTCTGTGGTATTAGAACAGACAAACAGAATAAGAATACTCAACATGCAAATTGGACTCATTGATAACAAAAATTGGTTGGTCAACTGGTTTAATAACCCAAATGCAAATTGCCTTACAAAATTAACAGTCATTTTACAAGGTATAATAAGATCTACTAAGAACAATGATGGGATATTAATCAACAAATATACAGACTAAGAAATGGTTGTTAGAGTAATAAGAGAACAATTTTAAAAACCCACTTTCATGTAATTAAAGACTCAAAACGAGAATTATCCGAAATATTTACACAATTAAAGATCATAAGTCATCTAACCCACTACCAAAATTCAACACAAAAAGAAACACCAATACATACCAGCTTTACAGCAACTTCCTCCCCAGTTTGAACATTTACTCCTGAAATAAATCGAACAACTACTTATCAAAAAAAAAAAAAAAATTCGAACAACTGAATATAGAACCCACAAAAATACGGAAACAAAAAATTTAGAGTCACTGAGAAATTCAAATTGCACATACCCAAATAGAGCTCGCCGAAAGATCCACTCCCGATCTTCCGCCCAAGCTTAAACTTTGAACCAATTACATGATCCATCATTAAATCCCAATCAAAATTACCTCTCCAAAAGAGCCTAATAACTTACTCTCCTATTATTCGAATCCCAGTCCAACTCCAATCCCAAATGCCCAAAAAAAAAAAACAATATCTTATTCCCGTTCTTCAAATTCCAATCAACTCACGATCCCAAATCAGTAAACCCTCTTTGCAGATCAATCGCTGAACAATTATATTCTCCAAATAAATCTCAGATCCATCACCGACCCACCATGCACAATCATCGGAAAATCTCCCCAACCCTTCAATCATAAAATCAATCACCACCTCAAACCCTTAATCTCCAATATCAGAACAAAAACAAGATTATTGAAATATCAGTATCTAACGATCAAATCATGAATAAACGGGCATAAAAAAAAAGGCAATAGATAAATGAATCAACACCATTCAAGTTACATCTTCAGAAAAAGAAACCCTAAATCCGCAACTAACTTTTCCCCTTCGAAACCCTTCCTATGTGATACATTCCTCCGAAAAGCAGATTAAAAGCAAAATTTGAAACAATATATATATATATATAACAGAAAGATGGTGACAAAGAACTGGAAGATTTGGGAAAATAAAGAAAATGACAATTTGGAGCGAGAAAAAAATAATAATAACAAATCCAAGACACCAAATTTTGGGGAAATTTTTGGGCGCAGATTCGAAGGGATCTGTGCAAGAAGACGATTTTTGAGGAAATTTGTCAAGAAAGTGAAGGAATAAATTTGGGAAGAGAGAGGAGAGAGAGAGAGAGTGAACGGAGGAAGGAAAACAGATGGAGAAAAGAAGAAGGATACAAAAGGCAACAAGTTAATAAATAATGCAATAATGATATTATTGGGTGTTGTTTTTTCATTTTTATTTATGTGTAATTACTAATTGACGATGGTTATTACTTAATACTCACTTTAAAGAATAATGATTGCCATGTAGAACGTCAAAGGATGGGACTTTCAAAATAAAAAAGCATCCAACAAAAAAGCATATAATATTTATTATTTATATATGTATGAAAAGGTATATTGAATTTTAGAAAATAATTATTGTATAGAAATAATATTACAATAAAAAGACATGTATTTATTTGTATTTTTTGCCCGATAACAAGTAAAATATGATTCTGTATATGTAAAATTCAAATAAAAAGAAAAATACCAACAACGTAACATTTATTTTTTTTCTAGTAATATAACACTTATTAAAATGTGCATTTATTTTTTGTGATTGAAAAGTTCAATATTTATTTAATACCTTGCATGTGGTTAAGCACACAGAGCGGGACTGGAAGTAAAATCGAATTTGAGAGCTGAAGTACAAAAGTAAGTCACACAGAGTAGAAATTAGAGCGAGAGCATGTGCGAAGCGTGAGACCGAAAGTGAGTTTGGAGCGTGAGTGTAGTACCTATTAAAAAAAAATTTGTGACACTTAATAAGAGTCATGTATGATAAAATTTAAAAGTATGTATTACTGTAAAAAAAATTTAAGAGTTGAATTTTAAGTGTTGAAGTATTTAAGTGGTAATTAAATTTATTTAAAAAATAAAAATAAATTAACATTCAGCATTAAGTGATCAGTGATAATATGTTACATAAAATTTCATTTCATTTAGTGTGGTTTATTGTGATTAGGGATGGCAATGGGGCAGGTTTCCCATTCCCCATCCCCGCCCCCGTTTAATTTTGGTGCCTCCAAAACCGTCCCATAACCTGTTAATTTGTTGCCTCTAATCTCCGCCCCCGCCCCCGCCCCATCACCGATTATATTTTTATTTAAACACAATCATAGCACATACACACACACACACACACATATATATATATAGAAGTGTTAAGTGTAGGGCTTCCAATATAGAGAGAGAGAGAGTGAAGGTTCATTTGGTAAATATATTAACATGGTAGGATAAATTAATAATTTAAAATATTAAACAGGACGGTTTTGGGCGCGGGTATGGGGCAGGGATCTTAGTCCCCCGCCCCCTCCCCGCAACCGGCTGATTTTTTTTTTTTAACCCCCATTCCCACCCCATTTAAGTAAAAAGTTCTCCAAACTCGCTTTAAATGGGGCGGGTCGAGGCAGTTCCCCACCGAATTGGGGATTTCTGCCACCCCTAACTGTGATCTGGCATGGATCTATGCTGTGCTGAGTGGGGCAGCCGCCTGCTGAAAATATATATATATTTTGTTTTATTTACTTAAAAATTTGGAAAATGTTCTCACTGAAATTATGAAAAAAAAATTCAATTGCGCTCCCTCTCAACAAAATTTATGAGTGCCATGATATTTAAATTGTGTTATCAAATGCACTTAATTAAATAAATATTTAATTCGTATAGAATTAAGCGTTGAATTAAATTATCAAATAACATTTAACTTTATTAGATTTAAAGTGCTATTTAAAGGGCATTTCCGCCTAAAAAGTCTAGTTTGATGGCGCTGGGTATTCATTTCTTTGTGAAAGCAAGTCAATATTTAAAAACTATTTGAAAAACAGAGAGGAAAGCAGCAAAAACTACTTTGATAACCACATTTTCTTTGTAAAATTCATAAGAATCTAAAGAATAAATGTCAAAAATAACTGTGATAATAACATTAAGCTAATTGTTGGTAATTGGTAAATGAGACTGAAATCAGAAGCTGCAAGCATGTAACTGCTAGAAACAATTGGATAATGGAGCTCCTCAAAAATTCAAAATAACTGTAGGTCCGCTAACTGTTAAAATCTTGACTTGAGCATGTGTAGCTCAAAATTTTGTCCACGAACCAAATCTATAACTTTATCCATTTAGTAATTTATTAAAAAATTTTAAAAAAAATTGATAAATGGACAGCTAAAAAAAAATATATATATATATATATAATAATAATAATAATAAATTAAGGTGGACTGAACAGCAACCGCTGAACCGCAAGTAGTTTACATTATTTTGTCTCACCTTCAGAGCCTGCCTAACCCATTAAACATGATTCCACTTGTAAATGCAGCATGTCCTCTTATCTTTCTCTCTCTCACTCCAAAACAAAAAAAAAAATTCTATAAATGATGTTGTTGATGATGATTTTGGAAGTGAAAACGAATATATAACTAAAAAATCTGGACCAACGTTGTGTTTGTTCATATATGCAAAATGTTGCTTTCACAGGCTTTCAAACAATAGATAGTTGGTGACCCGAATGACCTAAACATTGTCAGTTCAAGCCTCTTGTCCAAATTACAAGCATTGTCCTTTTTTAAATTTTTTGGGCACCATTCATATAACCTAACATTGATGTGAGACAGGTTTAAATTGTGTTCCCTATGATTTGTTTGGCATAATGGTATTACTTACTTTTTTCGAAAAAGAAGGGTAAGGATTTGAAAACCTGTAATATACGTGGGTGCGAAAATACGACTATCATGCAATAATAATGTAACAGTTATACTATACAACACTCATGTCACATAATATCGTTGTGCAACTTTGTAATGCCAATAAATAAAAAATTTAAAAAATTTACATAATTATTGCATTGCCGATTTAAAGTTATTGCATTAACCATTTAAAACGATAAGGTATCGTGTAAATTTTTTACATTAAGCACAGTCCACGCAAAAATGACACGCGAGAGAATCCTAATGCCAGAGTTTGAACGCGTGGTGTAGGGTTATGTCTTGCTTAACTGACAAAAAAAGCAATGACTCGAATCCTTTCTAGGAGCTCATGATTTGGGATTCTTTTCAGTAATAAGCACGAAATAGATAAGCAGTTGTGATAAGTACGACAAAGTTATGATATACAAGTCATGATTTGAGCTCATGATTAGTAGAATTAGTTATGATAGGCTTCTAAACACCAAATCAACTTTAAATTGTGAAACAGTTATCATAGACTTCCCCATTTTATAAGACAAATTATATCCCACCAAACAAACTAATCCAAATATTGAAATGTTAACTGAAAGCAATCCGAACCATATGGACAAAAAGAAGAGATATTGAAATAACCTAGGTTAACTTTTGATATAATCTAGGTTAACCAATAACCAGAACCTCAATTATCTGCCAGGAATAATTGGATATAGCCATTCCTCGACATATCAACAAAAAGAGAAGTCCATATCATAGTAGTGATTATATATATATATTCATTTAGTACAAACCATTTTCAAATAATACTTTTAACATAACAAACGATGAAGACCAAATCACAATCATAAAATAATGCCCTCAGAAGTGGGCAAATACAAGTCAAATGGACGTCATACTCCTAAAGTATCATATTAGGTAAAAACAAGTATCATATTAGGTAAAAACATTGTTTCTTGAAGCCAATACAAAAGAGGCAATCAATCAAATCACATTCCAAGAGCATCCCAACATGGTTCTTAATCGTCTTCCCTTTCAGGAGGTAGCCCACAAGGCAAAAGCATTTTCTGCACAGGAATATAAAGAATTTATTAAAATTAAATAAATTAAATTAAAATTAAAACATTAGACATTGACAACAGTATGAAAGCAATTAGCTGGCAAGCACTATAATCACCATAATCCAACTTGCATGTTTTTCATGGAGACAGAAAATTAACCTGGTGTAAGGTACCACTCGGCCATTCCTGGTAAATTGAACATACTAGGCAGTATTTACTCTTTAGTATGAAAATTGTGGTCATGTCTATAGTTTTTCCTTATTTTGAAGAATCGGTCATAACGAACATATTGTGTATTAATGAAACTAGTAACTAGTTACTAAATTATATTGTAACAGGTATATATGAAAATCACAATGTCATATAGTATATAATACAAACACATGCTTATCTACATATTCAAGTAGGTCATACTCCTACCATCTAGCATCGGAGCCTTGTAAGCCACTCAGACACTTCAAAGCATCATCCACCATATCTTCTTCTGAGAATGGCCAAAACAACTCCCCGTCCCTCATCTGAGAATTTCGCCAAAATCCACATCATCTTAACTGCAGCCTCCTATTGCTGTCCTCTACACAGCCTCTTATAGAAACTTAAAACTCCCCCAACATTATCTGCCCCTGTTCTCATCATCACTCCTCCACCTGATGAAGTCTCCCATGGGCATTTGCAACCCGATGGGAAAATTTTGTATCTCTGTTAGCTTCCTTAAGTCATAAAAATCTAGACTTCCGTCAACAGCAAATTTCTTTCAAGGGCTGCCCCATCCAGCTTTCCTCTTCCTTTCTACTACAAATCTCTTCCTCCACTAACTCCTAAATACCATTTTTAGTCCCTCGAGCTTTTCTTATAGTCAAATTACCAAAACCTTCTTATTCCACCTCTTCAAAACAACTTTTAGAATTCAGGACAATACAAAACTAGGGAATCCTTCCAATCTGTATACGCTCAACCCCTGGCCCTGGCTATTTCAACAAGCTCTATATTAAACGACATATTTTCAAATCTGAACAGCCTTCTCCCTCCTCTCACCCCAGAATTGTGAACAATCGCCAAATAGTCTTACCTCAGTCAGGAAACACAAGACCGGGCCCCTTCTAAGTATGCTCCACCAAACCAGAGAAATTCCAAATTTACCAATGTGCACCAGAAAATGAGGCCCAAGTGCTGGACCAAGTAAACCTTGCCTCTCTGGAAAGAATGTCCATCGAACTGAATGCCACAACATAATCAAATTTCCATCTTAGCTAATAAATCCTCGAGTACCCCAGTGTTGAACATGGGTACAGTACCTTGCTAAAGTCACCCCCACAGGGCCCGCAGCATGGTAAATCCCACCTACGCCTTACCCTCACTAGTTCCAAAGCTCCCCCCTTTTTTAATCCTCTCCTCTACCAATCCATATACCTCATAGGAAACTGTCCTCCATACATGCGAATTGATGAGAATATTAAAAGATCCCGATCATGAATAGAAAATTTACTCACAACGCTCTTATACACATAAAAAAGAACAGAAAAATTAAACTAGCTTTTACATAACATATATAGGCAGATGATGAAAAAACAGAGTGAAGTAAACAGATATGAAAAACCAAGCCACTTAAGATGAAAGATATACATAATGCAAAAGCAAATGTGCAAATAAAGTGAAAACGGCATATACAGATAGTCTTGACACCATTTTTTTTTTTTTCCCTTGTGTGTGTGTGAGTTGGTTTGTGTATGTTTATGTGTGTGGGGTTCTGGTGTTTCTGGGGCGTAGTGGTGTTTCTACAGGGTTGTAAAAGGAAATAAAGAATATGATGGGAGAGGGGAGGCCAAAATCTTCTCCTTAATAATTTCTCTCCAGATCTCAATTAATTTCAAATAAATTTATCAAGTAAATGATGACATTTCATAAGAAATGAAAAATCAGCCTCAACCCATGAACCAAATGGGGCATCAGGTACAAAAAATTATGAACAATAATCCTCTTCTCCTCTTCTATTATACTGAATACAATAAATAAAGGGACTATTACTCCTCTCTCACTCTGCTAGTCCCAAATCAAAGAATTTAAATAAATAAGTCAGCAAACTCCAATATCAAACCATCTCCACCGGTAATCTACACCAAATTCAAAGAAAACTGACGATAAAACTATTGTTACAAGGGGAGACTTGTCCCACATCGGATCTGGATGAGAAATGACATGGGTATAAATGGGTGGGTATGCAGCACAACCCAACAGCTTGAGCTTTTGGATAAATGGACAAGTGCCCACCCGTTACAGTTGGTATCATAGCCAGACCCAATCCTTGATCTGGTGTCATGCCAAGCGCCCGGCCCAGAAGGCGTCCGGATATTCACCCCGGATAGGCAGGGTGGTCCGACCGCAACGCCCTCGTTGCGTGGGTTCGAGTGGGAGAGAATGTTACAAGGGGAGACTTGTCCCGCATCGGATCCGGATGGGAAGTAACACGAGTATAAATGGGTGGGTATGCAACACCACCCAACAGCTTGAGCTTTTGGGTAAATGAGTAAGCACCCACCCGTTACACCTATCCACTTGTAATCTACACCAAGTTCGAAGAGATTTGAAGATCTAAGAGTTTTTACATGCCAACAGACCACATAATGGTAGTGTCAAAAGTAAAAGATCGATAACCAGCAATTTAAAAAACTCAGAGAATGAAAAGTGTAAGCAAATTATTTCCATTGATAGATCTCATCAAGCAACTACTATTATAGAGAAATAAGATGAGAATTTCATTAAATTATAATAATGAAGAGGATGATCATAGCAACAACATTATGAGCTTAACATGGATCGAACCTGCATAAAATTATAGCGCTCTCTTCCAATTGATTCATTTTCTGCAATGGCAAAATAAGCTAACATCGGGTAATGGCCAATATATGATGCATAGCTATCGCGCTGGATGTTCACTGCCCACTCACTACACAATCAAACAATTCATAATATAAGAAGAAGAAGAAAAGAAGGAAAAAAAATCTGCAGAAATAAATTTTTTGAAAGAATTGGGTACTTACAATCTATTCAAATCTGCATGCCCAGTTCCAACATATTTAGCTTGCAAATGCTCAAGCTGGGAATTAATATTAAACCTGTCACTGGCCTGCAGAAATTTGAACATATAATTATTAGTTCAGACCAAAAAAACAAAGAGATGCTAATCTAACAAAAAAATTCGATATCACATACTTACATAAAAGATGCATTACTATATCAACACACAGTCTTGGATAACCAAATTCTAATTTCCTAATTATCACATGCACACACTCTCATTCACGCAAACACACATGGGAATACACAGAGAGGAAATTTTAGCCTTTTAAAGTTGTTTCAATCATTCAAAACTAAAAAATTTGTCCATTATGGCTTCTTTTTTTAAAATATTTTCACAAAATCTTTTGGTGTAATCCATGCGAGTCCATTCCAATCAAATGAATTTCTTCAGCATCCACCTGGTTGCAAAGTAACTAACAAAACAACAGAAGTAACAGTTCTGAATCTCTTAGGGTTTTCAAATTTTCCTGTCTGAGAGAAAAAATAATAATAATAATAAAGAAGGGAGGTGCTATTGGCTCTCCAAATTTAGCCTCCAGCGCTCCACCTTGGTTCTTTATTAGATATATTGACAACTTTTCCCTCTCACATCTCTCCCCTTTTCAGTCAAAAATATATACATACATATATATATATGCAATTTTTTTTTTTTTTTTGGTTGGGCAAATTGTAAAAAAAAAACCCTTGACTATTACCCACTTGCAAGAAAAACCCCCTTATGAATATTTTTATCGAGAAATCCCCCTCAACTATATTGAGGGGGGCATTTTAACTTACATCCGTCTCAATCTAATTTTTCGGACGAAATCACCCTCTTCAATATTAACCCATCTCTCTATTTTCTCTCTCTAACCTCTCAATCTCCTCCATCCCACCATCGCCACCGCCACCACAATCCACCTCCGTCAATTAATTACATGGAGCGCACCATCCAACAGAAAATTTGACGCCTCTTACAACTTCCAAGCGCCAACTTGAAGCAGTCTCGAGGTTTGGAATAAATTAGGACGAATGTCTCCATCGGATGACGCTCTTTGCTCTCTCTCTCTCTCTCTCTCTTTCTATTTCTCTCTCTAAAGTCTAATCTAGAAGCAAGACTCTCTCTCTCTAACTTTGGCAAAGTGCTTGCCTGTCCCGGCAAATTCCTTACCTCAAGCCGAGACAGAAGGACGTGCGGACACAGCTGATAGAGATAATTGCTGAGAAAAAGATAAACAGATTTGATTAATTAATTAATATTTAACAAAAGCAACACCAACAGCGGGTTTTCTTTTTTCCTTTCTATTTTTTTTTTTTTTTGCTTCATATAGATTCTTTTACGCAGATCTATGCTGTTTCTGTTTATTTGCAATTTTTTTTTCGTAGGGACAATTGTCTGGCTAATGTGATGATGATGGGTTTACTCTGAATCTTTTGTGTTGATTTTTTTGGATTTTGTGTTGGACAGAGGAGGATTGTGGTGGCGGTGGGGTGGGTTGTGGTGGCGATGGAGGAGATTGAGAGGTTGGAGAGAGAAAGTAGACTTATTCTAGGTAAGTTTTACCTTATTATCATCAGAAAACCATAGCAATCAATAAATCTAGAAAATTTATTGAAACGAACGAATTTAAATTTTCTTTCTTTTTTCCTCAGTTTACTCCGGAAACAAACGAGAGTTTAGGGTTGAGATCGATAACATGCAGATGTAAATTTAAAAAGAATGAATAGTTAGATTTGAATGAAAGAATAATTCCTGAAAGAATTTGAACAGTTTCATTGCTACAAAAGAAGTGAGAATTAGGGTTTTTGAATTTGATTCTTTTTCCAAATACAGAATTTAAAGTTTTTATAAGTACATCAGTAAAAGCAATATAGTTGTATTGAATTGTACGTGTGTGTATATTTATATATAAACAGTATGTATGAGATTTACCTGCATATTTGCTCTTCGGAAGTGCAGAAATTGGGGAGCCGACGAACCAACCACAGAACTACACTAAGTTTGGTTGGAGAGAAACGTATCCTAAATTCACTTCCCTTCAATCGACGCCGACTTAATACATGGATGAGGCCGTGACCCGCCTGGATTGTTGGGGAAATGGGGTGTCGGTCTGAACAGATATGGGTCGGGTTTCAATATTTACGGACCCTAGTTTGTTATTTGTGAACTGAGGCTACTAAGCCCAAGCTCGCCATACGTATTCTTGAGTAATATTATTACAAGTCTTGATAAAATTTATTACATTTCAATTCGTGCCATATAGCATGGGACTATTTCAATTCGTGCCATATTGCATGGGACTTTATGAATTTTCCGAATTAATCTGATCATCCAAAATTTTAATAACCATTTAATAAATTAACATTACAAAAAAATAAACTTGTGGGACTTAATAATATTATTTTCTATGAGAATTGTAAAAGAACTCAAAATCTTAAATTTTTATTATTTTATTTTCTTAACTTTTTTTTTTTTCAAAGCAAAAAGTGTTAGAAATTAGATCAGTAGATGCAAAGATTTGAAATATTTTATTTTCTTAACTAAAATTTAACTATTATAATTTTTTTACTTTAAAATTAAAAAAAAAAAAGCATGTTGAATGTAGTTTAAAACCTATGATACTATAAATAATATAATTTTAACTCTATTTTACATTAAAATAAAAATAAATGTATAACCTTAAAATCTATATATATAAAAAAAAATTAAAAAAAAAAAAAAAAAAATTAAACTTTTCTCATATTTTGATTTTTTCGTGTTGATAAAACCTTTCGCAAATCCGCCCAAAATAAATTCAGGTTCCAATGTTTAAACCCAATCCTAGTCCTCAGGTCTCAAGTACCCATCAACACACATAAAATTTTCGTACAAGACTCGAGTTTCTATGAAAATATATTCGATTTAAAAAAAAACGTATACTCCCCCTGTCTCAATTTAGATGTCATTTGTGAAGAGTAAAAATTTTTAAAGGGACATGTAAGACATGTCTTGTCTATCTAAAAAGTTACTAATTTATCCTTTGATTCAAGTTTAAAATTTTAAACTCTAAGGACATATATAGAAAGATGTAAAATATATTATTTAAAAAAAGAAGTAGACCATTATTTTGGAACAGATAAAAAGTAAAGCATGATATTCTTTTTAGGACAGAGAGTATATTAAACTTTCCTATATTCCTAGCCTACCGAAATAATTCATGAGCGACCCCAATAATATTTGAGAATGTTTAAATTAGCTTAAAATTTGAGTTCATGCTCGATTCGTTAACTTAATGAACAAATTCAAGCTCACGCTAAACTTCAAACTAAAAAATCAATCCAAAACCATTCATAAGCAACTTGGTCCAGGACTTTGTGGAAAGAGAGACGAGAAGATAAAAGAGGAGGACAAAGAAAAATGAAATTTGTTATGAAAAACACAGTGAACCCAAGCAACAATCACAAAACACAACAAAAAAGTAAATATATCACATACAAATAACACAATAATTTATACGTTACCAAAACCTATGTCTACGGTGGAGATTTAACGAAAGTCTTCATTATATATAAAATTGAAAATTACAAGTTACATCTACCTACCCATTTCAAACCCTAGACGCCTTTATATATCATACTACAAGAGAATACTAATTAGGATCCACAGTCCATAAACAAAAAATGGGTCAAAATTTTTGGTGGGCTTAGACACGCACAAAACTCATCCAGATCGTCGGTCGCACCGTGACCATGCTGTTGCGACCATGCTCCAAATTCAGGCCACAACATCACAAAATTAATAAAAAGAAGGAAATGAAAAGGAAAAGAAAAAGAAAAATTATAATCATTGTCATGAGTTTTCAAAAAAACAATTCTTGGTGTCTTCACTAAAATGACTAAATCTTAACATAGAATCATGTTCTTAGCTGTCATGTCATCACTTTGTTAACCATTCACTGAACAATGGTTCCATGCACAACTTTATCTGTAACAAAGATTGATCACATGACAAACAGATACAGAGACGAGCGTCGTTGGAGAAACCAGACACAAAGATCGAAACAATAATTTTAAAAAATGTTTTCTTACCATTAACCAAATATGAGCGGGTGATTACATTAAAAACATTAACAAGGCATTGTACACATTTCTGAACTTGACCGGGGAAAAAAGAAAAGAAAAATACACATCATTACCAGAGAGAGAGAGAGAGAGAGAGCAATATACACTTCCAGCCCATAATTTACAAAAACCAAAACCTAAGTTGCCCTGGAGGAAAACCAAAACCTATCTACTTCTTTTGTGATTATGTATCCAAATGCAAGGAACAGCCAAACAAAAGCTGTCCTCTTAGGAAGAACTTAAATCATGTTTGTTTAGACAAATATGGGCATCGGATGTTACAAAGAAGTTAAGCTTATGGTGTTGATTCACTCTTGTCTTGAGATTTCTAGTTGAGGAGGCAAGAGGTTCATAAAGCTCCCTTTAGCAGGTTGATCCGCAGCAGTATCTGACTCGTCATCTGTAACACGCCAAACAAGAAAATGCAAAAATGAGAATCCATCCAAAGTCCAAACGGCGCAATAATTCCTCTAGCTTGTTTTACACTGCAATTTGTTTAGGACAAAGGCAGTGATAGAATACTAAACAATGAAGTTGCTCAGTGCAGTTTTCATATTTAAATCACCATAAGAAGTCAGGTTGAGGAATATGACTTTATATATATATATATAAAATAGAAAAGATGGCCTTTGTCCAAGGTTCCTCGACACCATCATCCCTCTCAAAAAGAAAATCACATAATATCAGAGCAAATAAATAAATAAATAAAACTCAAGTAAATATTTTATATCAAATAAAAATTGTATTTGTGACTCAAGGATGTTTTGTAAGAACAGTATCATAATACTGTAAATTTCCAACTCCTATTATTACTTAATCTTAATCCTTGTTACATCTACATTTCTATACTCCATTCATTTTTATATATACTAGTAAAACTGTACGTGCATTGTGCGTGAGTAAAATGTAATTTAAAATTAATATTTAACAAAGTAATTAAATAATTGTAAATTCTAAAATATCCATGAACATAAAATTGACACAAAGTAAAAGTGATTAAAATAATGATTTTTTGTTGAAATTTACAATAGGAACTCAATTGTTGGTAGGTGTATTTTCAAACTCCTAAACAATATCAAAATCAAGAATATTTTTTTTTACAATTTACTAATATTTATTTATTTATATATTATTTATAAAATTAGAAAAGATGTGGAGACTAAATAGACTAAATTATTTATATTTTTATATATTTCCTTTATATATATCATTGTCTAATTAGAAAGACTAAATTATTTATTTTCTTTATATATTTCCTTACCTAATTAGATTTCCTTTTATTAAAAAAACTCATAATATATCGGTAATTTGAGTTTTATAGAAACTCTTCTAAACACCTTATATTAATTTAAAAATAAAAACTCATAATAAATAGGTAATTTGTTTTATTCTAAAATGATCCATAAACATAAAATTGACACAAGGTAAAAGAGATAAAAATAATAATTTTTAATTGAACTTTACAATAGGAATTCAATTATTGATAGGTGTATTTTCAAACTCCTAAAACAACATCAAAATCAAAACTATTTTTTATTACAATTTACTAATATTTTATTTATATATTAGAAAATTATTTATCTATTATTTATAAAATTAGAAAAGACATGGAGACTAAATAAACTAAATTATTATTATTATTATTTTTATATATTTCCTTGTCTAATTAGAAAGACTAAATTATTTATTTTCTTTATAGATTTCCTTCTTTAATTGGATTTTCTTTTATTAAAAAAACTCATAACAAATGGGTAATTTGAGTTTTATAGAAACTTTTCTAAACACCTTATATTAATTTAAAAATAAAAACTCATAATAAATAGGTAATTTGTGTAATTCTAAAATGATCCATAAACATAAAATTGACATAAGGTAAAAGAGATAAAAATAATAATAAATAGACTAAATTATTCATTTTTTAAATATATTTCCTTTATATATTTTCTTGTCTAATTAGAAAGACTAAATTATTTATTTTCTTTATATATTTCCTTGTCTAATTAAATTTCCTTTTATTAAAAACCTCATAAAAAATAGGTAACTTCAATTTTATAGAAACTCTTCTAAACACCTTATATTAATTTAAAAATAAAAATTCATAATAAATAGGTAATTTGAGTTTTATAGAAACTCTTTTAAAAACTCTTTTTATATTAATTAATAATATTATTTATATTATTAAATAAATATAGATAGATATATACGTCTTGTAAAATCTGATAAGTATTGGCAAGCTCATTTGCTAGCGGGTTGCCTGGTTGGCATGTTCTTTGTCTTTTTCTTTGTCTTTTCCATCTTTGTTTATTTAGATTGTACTTTCCTCATCTTTTTAGGTTGAATTTCACTTATTTTTCTAGTTATAATAAATATAAGCTAAGACTCATCTCAACTCAATTCAAAAAGACTCTTCCTAACGACAATATACTAATAAGACTTTTCTGCTATAGAACCGGCAATTCCACCAACAGGGACAGATCCTAAAATTTTCACTTTGGGAGAGCAATTTGTAGCATGTTAATTGTAATATTTTTTTCTAACACCTAACACGGTACAATTTGGCACCCCCCAACATGAAAATTTTAGGGTGCGTGCTTGTCAAAATTGGAACCTTAGAAAGGCAGAAAACAAACTTCAGATAAACTACCTCTAAAAGCTAAAATAAGGCTCCACGATTAAACTTGATTCAACTAAAACTTAAAGCACAGAGCTAGAATACTGCTACTAGCATTTTGTTTCTTGGCTCAACATGTTGGTTCAACGGTTGCATTACATTCAACTACCAAAACAGCCAGAACAAAACATGCATTTTAGATATTATATATATATATATATATATATATATATATATATATATATCTAGAGAGAGAGAGAGCATACCAAAAAGGGACTTGACAGTGGGCCTCTTAGGTTTGTTGCTTTTCTTTTTCAACTCGGCTGAAAAAATAAATGTAGAATAATACCAATCATAAATTATCATCAAAGATAAAATACAAAAGCTGAACAAAAATCTGTAATGTTCAACAAAAAAATTAAAGTCTTTATCGAATGTGGCATAAGGAAGAAAGTCAAATGACAGTAAAAGAGCATATTATGAACAGAATCGTGCCTGATCCTTTATAATAGAAACCATCTTTTTTCTTTTAAGATGTAGTTTTAAAACAATTAATAAGTTATTACAATTCAAGACTTTGATCTCAAGAATAAGGTTACAAAATGCACTGGCTAAACCACAAATGGAGAAAGCACTTTCGAACCCATCACTGGTAAAAATGAGGCTTTTTTTTTTTTTTTGGAGGGAGAGGGGATTAAACATTAAAGAAAATACTGTGAGAATGAGATAAGAACCATAACTCACAAAAACAAGTAGGCCAACACAAGATTTATTTATTTTTCACTAATTCAAAATTACCCACCCCGCACCGCTACTAAAGGAAAGCCATACATAGCAAAAGAAGCATAGATCTCCAGTAGACGGTGAGGCTGAATTCTCAATTAATCAACTATAAAATATATGGAGAAAAAACAATACTGCATAGAGATAAATGCATCATAAGTATTTCTGTAGGTATATATCTTCTTCGACACCATCAGTCAAAAGAAAAAGGAACATGAGTTGAGTTCTTTAGAGAATATAATGAGACATCTACAAAAAAAATCTAACAAGAATTGAGAGAAAAGAGAAAAGAAAAGAAAGGCAATAGGATATGTACAAAGAGAGGAGCAACATACCAATTCCAGGAACTTCATGATCATTTACAATTTCAAAGTTCTTATATGTGTAACCCACAAAGTTGATATCTTTAGATGAAAGCATCTGCAGCAAAACATAAAAATACAATAAGAAAAAGATGATTATTCGGACAATGCAAACATTAACTGAATAGCCTGAATCAATAACCAAAAACCAACTTCATATTTCAGAAATCAATGATGAAGGTAAAGCTTCAGTAACATGCTGCCCACTAGTGCCCAGAGAGGATTAGTCCCACAAGAAGGATGGGAATACCCCTTTAGTCATTAGGGAAAGGAAACAAAGAAAAACAAAAATAAAATTCTGTTCGCTTTCCTTTTTCGAAATGATAGTCTGTGAACATGCTAAATAGAAAAATATGGCCAAAAAAACGATTTTAATAAGGTGCAATTTTTTTGTTTCCTCCCAGTTCCCTAAAGTTCCAAACAGGGACTGGAGCTAAGAATTTACTATAGGGGGGAACGAGTTTGGGCAATAATAAGAGAAATCCCTTTAAATTAAAGATGTGAGATCATTTTAATATGAAAATAATATTCGTTCTTCTCTCATACTCTACAATTCTCCCAACACTCTTACACTCCACTGCTGACTTTTGAGAAGTAATTATGTCATTTTTCCCCCTTTTGGAAAGGTGAGGAAGCAAATTGCTAAATGGAGAACAAATATCACATCCAAATGTGTGTCTATTTGTGTTGGGTGGGGAATGTTAATAGTTATTAAAGATGTTTTATACGTACATATTTTATATTTAATCAGTGGGTACGCTCCTCAAGGAGGATTGGATGAAAGTACAAAAAAAGTTTTTTGGGACTCGATCAATGAATTGATGCAATCTATACTTAATCATAAAAGCATATCCATAGGATGTGATTTTAATGGACACGTAAGCATTATGGGATAAGGTAATACACAAGTCCATGGAGGATATGATTTTGGAGAGTGAAATGAGATAGGAGGAGGATATGGTTTTGGAGAGCGAAATGAGATAGGAGAAAAACTCTTAAAAACTTTGCAAAAGCATATGACTTAGCTAAAACTAATGCATTTTCAAAAAACAGAGGAATATTTAATTAAGTTTAAGAGTGGACTAAATAAATGCAAATAGATTATTGTTTATATAGACGAGGAAAATTTACCCAGTGTAAAAATTGTAAAGTAATTCCTGGAAAAACCCTCACAAACCAACATCGCATACTAATTTTAGACCTATTAATTTTATAAAAAAAAAAGAAGAAGATAAGAAAGGCCATTAAAGCATTAAATGGAAAGAGTTAAAAGGAGGTAGAGCAATAACGTATCTTATGGCCTCTTTGGCTTGGGAGTCGACTAGTGTGGTCAACTCTTAGGTCTAGAGATCAAGGATTGGTAGAGAAAGAGAGAAAATAAGGGAAGTAAAGCAATAACGTGTCAAGAACAAATATTAAAAAGGAAGTCATGGGATTAAAAAGATAACATGGATAACCTGTGGTTAAAAATAACAAATTAGGATTTTATCTAAAGATGATTAGTAAAACTAATCATTTTTTCTTATATGGAATGTAGAACTAAAAACATAGTATATGGAATGTAGGGGTTCTTATGGAATGTAAATCTAAAGATGACAAATTAGGTTCTTTTGGAATGTAAATAGAATATATGGACTGTAGTGGTTCTAGTATCAATTAGTAGAGCTAAAAATAGATTACATGGAATGTAAATTTAATAAAGATTTGGGTTTGATAATATAAACTCACACTTATAACCAAAGGATTATTCAAAACAACCACTTTCAATATTAGGATCGATAATACAAAACGATGGAGAGATAGATAGTGATAACTAATAGAATTGGATTAGGGTGGACAAAATGGGGATAGTCTAGTGGTATTTTATGCTATAAAGAATAACAAATGGGCTAAAAAGAAGATTTTATAGAACCGTTATTAGGCCAACTATTTTATATGGAGTAAACTGCTGGGCTTTAGAAAAGAAACAAGAACAACGCATTAATGTAATGGAAATGAGAATGTTAAGATGAATGATCGGTGTGACTAGAAGAGATACGGGCTAATGAACACGTGATAGAAAAATTAGGAGTGGCACCCATTATTGAGAAAATAAGAGTTTAGACTTAAATAGTATGGACACATACAACGGAGACCTATAGACGTGTCAGCAAGAAGAAGAATATTACTTTTCATTGAAGATCCAGATAGGGCGTCCAAAATTAATGCAAAATGAAATTATTAGAAATGATTTTAAGACGTTGAAAATAATAGGGGAGATTGTATGTAATAGAAAAGAATGGAAAAAGAGAATTCATGTGGCCAACCCCATTCACATGGAATTAAGGTAAGGATGATTATTATGATGATGTATAATTGTAATTATGCATATAAAATCAAAATAAAAAATCGAGTGGGGCAGCTGCCCCCAATGGGCCCAAGGTGGCTCACTTCATGGTTCCAAACAGCCTTGCCTTTCCTGATAATTTACATCCTAAAAGTAATAATTGCTACAAGAATGGACTTTTATTAGTTTTTTTACCCCTCCCTTTGTTTTCTTTTTTCATTTTCTCCTATTTCTTTTGACAGAAAACTGCCATCATGAGAACAAATGGTGAGTATCTGGTGGTGATCCAGCAGAATAGATATTTAAAGGGAATGTTAATTCTTCAAAAAATCATTTCGGACCTTTTGGTGTAAGAGAGAGGTCCGTAGTGCCTAAATGATGTTCTGTCTCATCAGAGACTACATACAAAGGTTTTTATGTCTCAAATTTGACAAGAAAACAAGGGCTGTCAGCAGACTGTAGTGTCTCAGCTGCAGCAGCAAGTATGCAGTAACATGAATTCTAAACAACACTAAATCAGCCTTAATAGACTCAGGATGCACATTAAATACCAACCTTTCTCCATGGACCTGATCTTGCCGAAGTCGGAATTGGGCTGTCAGCCTGCAATGTCATGAAAGAATCATGAGAATAAAGAAAAGTGAGCCACAAAAAACGTCTCCCAAGTATTTGTAAAAATTGGAAAGGCTTCTCCACCTCTTCAAACTTCTCAAAGTTTTGAGTGTCCAACTCATCGTTTACTTCAGGAATAAATGCAGCTTTCATTTGATACAAATTTTCCCATTCAACACCATTAAACCATGGGTGAGCCTGAAGAATAACAAGACCAACCAGGTGATTCCTCAAGTTTAAGTTCTGTTATTGAAGTGTATTAAAGAATATAGAACAGAACACACCACACAACACCTTTATCTCATCTGCGCCTTTTGTTCCAAGCCTCTTGTCTACATTACATAAGAGTTTACTTATCAGATCTTTTGCTTCCGGAGATAGCTTTGCCTCTTCTGGGAATTTTAAATGAGTTCTCCAGTTTACTATCTGCATAAATTAAAAAGAACTTGTTCGATAATGGATGAAAATAAAGGACCTGAAAGAGAATTTAGAGACGAGGGCAAGAGATGTTAAGACGTATTTAATTATAGAAATAAATTATTAATTAGATCAAACAGAAATTAAATATTTGAGTTCACAAAAGTAAAAATGTCAAAATTACATGACATAATAAATTTACAGTTCGATAATAAGGTAACAACATTTTGGAGGTCAAAGAAACGTGAACCAGGTGATCATATATGCTTGTATCAGGGTGTTCAATAAGGATCCGTTAAATAACCAAGTGACAGTTCCCTGTAGAGATGCTATGGGATGTTTTACCTAGAAATTTTTATCGGGTATCCTCACCTGCTCTGGGCAGGATTCAGATGCAAATGGTCAAATTATGGAGAAGTCAGCCATACAACCATTGAATATGAGAAGTTTAAGATTGAGGCTTTTTTGTCCCAGACCTGACTTTTTCTATACTAGCTACTTGGGATGCCCAGCTTAAAGAACCCACTATGCTCTAAAATGTGGAGATTCTAGAGGATCGCGAAACATTGTGTGGGTCCATGACCCTGTTTGAAGTGTGGCTTCCACATGGGGAATTCCACTTTGACATTTGACCCAAGTAATACCCGAGTGGCACTTCACTTATCTCCAGAGTTACTAAACACAAGCCTTTTTTTTTTTGATAAGTAGTTACTAAACACAAGCCTTGAGAGAAATTAACGGAAAATGTACATTCAATATTATTCTGATACCTACAGACCTCAACAATACAGTGCCTAATCCTTGGTTGTTGCAGGGCATGTCAAATGGCCACCTTTATTTTTTGACAATGTGCCGAATCATCGTTGCCTCAAGACACTCCTACAGGCACTTGTAGTCTCCACTGGGGCGCAAGCCTGATGATGAAAACATCTTTACATGTGAGGACCTCTTCTTCTTCTTCTCAGATAAGCCTTGCTGCTAGCATATACTTGGCAAAGATCTCCTCTTCTGATAAGCCTTGCCACAAGGCCTTCTCTCTATGGATAAGCCTTGTTACCTTCTCCGCAAGCATATTATGTAGCCTAGGGTTATGTGGTTATCCTCTAACACTTGAAGACCATCACAAGAATTTCCTCTCCATGGAAAAGCCTCATTGGAGACTCAAAAACTAAGGGGCACTTGCTCTATAAGGTAAGCCTCACCAAGGAACTGAAGACCGTCATGAGGACCTCTTCTCTATAAAGCTTTGTTGAACACTTGGAAGCTAAGAAGCATTGACACTTCTATGAGGTGCCGTGTCCGTGTTCGACAGCGTGTTGAACACTGACACTCAATGTGCACGCCTAGACACGTGTCCAACACTTCGTAGCCGTGTCTATTATTTAAATTTTTTATTATTTTGGACACTTGGCCAACACATCTTGACACTTGGTCAACACATCTCGGACACTTGGTCAACACATTCTAGACACTCGACCAACACATCATACACTATCCGTCTTATATAAAACATACACGTGATAGTCCTGGAAACAACATTATGAACATACATCAAAGTGTTCAACCTCTAAGGAACAAAAACGTAATTATAATGAAAAGATAGGATAGTAATATCATATATAATATAACATGTTCTTTTTTATATTAAAATAGCGTCATCTTCTAACTTATGTAACTTTAGTACAGAGTTTATAAATTAATTAAAATTCTATAATTGTCTCATTCAATAGATATATAAATGAAATTTTATATTTATATTAGCAGGGTTCACGCTGTGTCTGTGTCCTGCTTTTTTAGAATTTGGAGTGTCAGTGTATCCGTGTTGTATTGTATCCGTATCCGTGCTTCTTAGCTTGGAAGACACCCGATACACCGTGACCTTGCAGCAAAGGGGATATAAGATCCTCACCTGTCAATCACACTCATTAGAAACCTAACTACTCTACCAAGCCCCAGGATATAGCCCCGAAAATCCTCTAGCCAACTCTTCATCTAAACCCCATGATAAACTAACCACAGGGGGTAATTAGTCCTCATTACACCTAAATCCCTAACTCAACTCTTTCACTTAAACTCTCCCATAGCACCTTGATCCTGAGAAGTCACTAGTTATGAACACACTGCCATTCTCTCTCTTTCCATCAAGCCTAACTTGACTTCAAAAGGACCATGTGAGGGCAAGTTTACTCTGACACCGAGTTGATGTTGGACCAAAAAGAAAGAAGGGGCTCAGAATAATAAGACGAAATGAGACTACACGAAAAGGGGGCTTGAAATAGACAAAGGGAATGAGAGAATGGACTAAAGAGATGAGGCTAGGCAGACTGAGGGGTCGAATCTGTCTGTTTACTCCTCTAACTAATATTCATTACAGCCACCTACTAGAGGGTTTGTCACGTGAATATCAAGATAATGATGAGAAAAAGAATATGGATTACAAAAACTTTGAAAGTTGAGAAAAAGAATTGGTGGAAATTATCGTAGTGCTTGGTTTCCTTGCACTGTTGAGGGACATGTGCAGAATTTAAGAATTTTATAAATGCTAAAAATGTTAGTGATTTCAATCAGCAGTTTTTCTGCTATTATTTCCTAGTTTCTTAACCATCATCAAGTGAAGAATAAGATGTAGTGAAATAAAACATTACTGGAACCTCTGGTAGGCAACGGCAGAGAACATTAAAACACAGGCATTAAACTAGTCCAAAATATATTTGATAAATTGAATGGAGAAAATGTATAGTATTCCCAAGATTACCTTCCTACAAGTGGACATTGGTTCATCAGAATAGAAAGGTGGATATCCCACAAGCATTTCATACATGATAGCACCAAGAGACCACCTGTGGACGTAAAAACGGAACATCATCTGAACATTAATTTTTGAGAAAAGGTAGATTATGAAAAGAAAGAAAATATCTTAGAAAATACCAACCAATCACATTCCATTCCATATCCTTTCTTCAGCAGAACTTCTGGAGCAATATAATCAGGTGTACCAACAGTGGAGTAAGCCTATAATATCAGAATATCCAAGTTTTAGACAACATAATCGCCATACTGCCATGCAGTCACCAAAAGAACTTTCTCACTTTATGATAAATAAGTGAACTCAAGTACTTGATAACTTTTGTAAGACAGTTAATCAGCTGAGAATACATGTCCAATTTACAATTACATTAAATTCATTTGTTTAGAAGCGTTGCAATATTGTACAGCTTTTCAGACCTACATTTCATTGGATTCATTGTTTCCATGTAGCATGAAGCATGTGGATCTCGCCCGACCCATGTCCCCATATACCCAAACGATCCCAAATGCTTATAAATTTAAAAAGAGTAACACAGATGCACATTCCCCGACAACACACTCAAAAGAAACTGCCTGTTTTGTCAATTAAATACAAGATCAACAATAAAAAGAGCAATTTCAGTAATGTGATGATAGGGACTAGGGAATTTACAAGCATCCTCCTGTTTCTTTGCCAATGCTGCAGTTGCTCTTGTTGAGTGCGTTTTGGTGCCGCGGGGCGTCCATCACTTTGAAGAGCCCCGCTAAGGTTATTTCCAACGGAAAAATCCTTTTCCTGAAGATTACTGCAATCCAATGGTTTGCATAATCCAAAATCTGACAATTTCATGTGGCCATATCGATCAAGTAACAAGTTGTCAGGTTTGATATCTCTGTAACATGTAAACACAGAAATCATTCCTTCTGGCATGATAGAAGTAAGGTCCTGAAAAGCATATTCATGGTTCCTACTAAAAAATTAAGAAAAATTTGCCCACAAACCTATGAATATAATTATGTTTATGTATGGACTCAATGGCTAGGACTGTCTCCCCAACATAAAACCTGGCCTCGTCTTCCGTCAACGTATCCTTCCGCATCAATAAAGTCATCATATCTCCACCAGGTAGATATTCCATTATGAGGTAAAGATACTCTTCGTCTTGGAAGGAACAGTAAAGTTTGACAATGCAATTGCTGTCAACCTCTGCAAGTAGATTCCTTTCTGCTTTGACATGTTCAACCTAAGCAAGTTCAAAGAAGAGCAATAAGCATAATGAACAAAATCTTCAATATGATTGTCTGGTAAACCTGATTAGGTACATACCTGGCCTCTACGAAGCATTTCTGATTTCTTAAGCTTTTTCATAGCATACACATGGCTTGTTGCCTTCTCCCTACATATTTTAACCTGCACCAGAGAAATAAAACAAGTTGCACAATGCAATTCGCGACATCATTAAATTACTATGAGAGCATCATAAAGTAGTACAAGATATAGTCTGGAATGACCCCATCAGTGATTTCGATCATCACTTGCGCAAAAGGGGATTCAATTTTAGGTTTATTATCTTGGTTCTTTTAGTTTGGTACTCTGAAAGGTGCTCCCCATAAATGGTATAAGAAACTACACATTTATCTGGTTGCCTAAAAAGTAAAAAATAAATAAATAAATAAATAACATCATTAACTGGTAGTCCTTGCTCTAAGCATGGTGCAAGCAAAACATCCTACCCTTCAAACTTATGCTCAAGAAGTTTGTCTCCTGAGGTAATATGTGGTTTTACTTCATGACAGAAGAATTTCACCACCTACAAAATGAATTCCTATCCATCGTTGCTGTAAATCATCTTTGCTTGGCTCTGGTAAGTCTGCTAGAGTGAGACTGTATTTGAAGCATGACACATGTTCCTAAATTGTGTTTTTATAATCATATGCATAAAAACGGACCTGCTAACTTGCCCACGTATTTTAGACACATGCAAACAGAAGTGTATTTGTGTGAGCCATCAGAAAATTCCAACAGGAACAATGTAGATTTTGGCTACTTACAAAACTTTTTGGACCAGATATGCAAATCTGGACAAAGGGAAACACAGAGCATAAGATGCATTCCATGATATTCAGGTATAATGACCCAAAACAATATTTATTCCAACATAAAACTTTCAGTAAGGATTTCCCTCCTCTTAGTCATAGCCTCTCCTCCTAAAATCATCCCAACCTGAGTGGAGAGATGGTGCATAACATAGATATAGGAAAAGGTATAAAAATAATCACAATTTTTGGAACAATAAGATTTGCCACCTGCAAACGGTATCCAGATGGTTCAAGGAAGGGGCGGGAGAAGGAAAAACAGCAACATAAATGATACAAGAAAGTTGACAGCCGATGGAAGTTCAGAGTTGGAAATGCAGATTGTCAAGGAAAAAAAACATCCAGTATAATGTGATAAGGTAAGTCATACCTCCCCAAATGCACCCTTCCCTATCATCGTCAACGGCTCAAAATCATCAGCACCCATTTTATGCCTCTGAAGGCGCATATACTCCGTTTCCTTCTTCTCCAAATACTTCAGTAAGTTGTTCTGCTCTTCCTCAGAGACCTCAGCATCGGCTAATTTCTTTTCAAGCATATCACGCCTACATGAAAACATATTCTCAAATCCAGTCACACCAAGTGCCACAGATTAAAACAACTTAAAATTACCTTTCTCCTCATAAACAACATAATTGTCAAGAGAGAAAAATAAATAAAAAATTTAATAAGACGGGCCCTCCTTTCCAAAGAAAGAGAGAACTGAAATAAAATACAAAAAGGAAACCCAGAAGGAAAAAAATCCAAACTACAAAACATGCCCTAACAACCCACAAACTCAACATCACATTAATTACTCTGAGAGGAACCTTAATCATTCTCCCGAAAAACTTGCAGATGTATTGTTTTCTTAAGCATGGAAGAAGACCGTACAAAATTGTGGAAAATATGCTAATGAACTGCTGCCACACTTAGTTTTATCTATCTACTCTTAAGTCGGTTACATGCTTACCACGTTCAAGTGAGTGTCTTTCTAATATATCTTATTACAGGGCTGAGATTAAGATATCCGAATGGTTATATTTTGTTGTTCTATTATAGCCTATATAATCCAAATGAGACTTTTCAGGACAACTTTTCTAAGAAATAAAAGTTGTTCATAGCCTTTTCTGAACCACTTCAAAGGCTTGTTTACTTATTTCTCTTACACAAATCCACCTTTTTTCTTAATTCTTAAATTACGGCAGTAGATTACTCTTTGGATACAGAAGCAAGTTTGTAGCTCCAACTTCTCACTGAAAGACCAAAGGTTTTAAGCAATGGCAACAGCACCGTACTTGTAACACACAGTGTAATAAACAATCGATGTAACAGCCATAATGTAACAAACGCAAACGCATGAGCCATGGATTTTTTATTTTCTAACGCCCAACTTTCTCTAATGTTTACTGACATCATGATATAGTCCAAAAATGCCAGGGTTTTAAATGATTACTAATAATTGTGTTTACTTTATAAAGATTATCAAATATAAATAGTCTTAACAATTGTGTTCAATTTATAAAGATTATCAAATATAAATAGTCTTAACATTAAATTTTAAGTCACTATTAGCAGTAAAAGCTTACCAATTTTACTTTCAATATTTTTATACCAAAAAAACAATTAAACACGAAAATATATAAAAGATATACATTGAAATACAATTAAACAATTTGATAACATATCTTAAGCCAATCATGAAATCACATATTTACCAGTCGCGATTATTAAATTATTAATTGAATGTTGATAATCTGATCACATAATTAATACATATAAAAATATTTATTAATTTACTAATTAGAAATTAGTAATTTAGTAAAATAAATGCTGTATATAGTTATTTACTAAATTAGTAACCATTATTTACTGATTAGTAATCTAAATATCCAAAACACTAGTACTAGTAATCCACTAATTTATATAATTCATATATTATTTATTTATTAAATTATTAATTTGTATTTAGCACCTATTAATTATTATCTAGTATTAGGGTGTGTTTATAATGGATTTAGAAGTTAAAATTATGTAAAAGAATAAAAAGAAAAAGTCCGAGAAAGGAGGTCTATATACCTCACTAGCCTAACCAGCCGTTGTGGAGCCATAAAAAGATATTGCGGCCTTTACTCAGCCACAACGGCCACCAAAGTGTCGCTTTTAGTAGAAAAAAAACAAAGAGATGAGAGGATTGGGATCTAGTTAAAAATAAAGAAAAGAATCCCTACAAGAGAAAAAGTTCATGGAAACAAGAGGGAAAAGGAAAAAAAGATGCAAAAAGAATTTTGTTGTGAAAGGAAAAAGAGAAGGATCTAGAATTTGTGAAGAAGAAGAAAGAAAATAGGAGGAATAAGAGAGAGAGAGAGAGAGAGAGTGCAATCATCCATCAGCAGCGAAGCTTGGTCAGTGGGAGAACAAGAGAGTCAAAGTTGACTGTGCAATAGTTTAAACCTTTGAACTAAAATATAAGCCTAAATAACTGATTGTTATAATATAAAATTGAATTATAAAATACACAAATTGTGAATAATTACGTAATGACCACCATATTATTGAAAGTTATTATAAAACTCCTCATGTTTACACCTCAACCCAGCTTTCTTTCTAAAACTTTCTTAAAAACCCCCAAAAATGCGACATGCATGTCGGACACGAATCCATGGCGTGTCAGCCACTTGTCGCAGCGTGTCTGTACCGTGTCTGAATATTCAAAAAAAAAATCAGACACGTCTTTTGGCGTATCGGTGTGTGACGCGGATTCTTTGCCCTTTTAGGCGTGTATGTGCTTCCTAGTTGACCAATAATATCATAGCCCCAGGCAGCTGTTACACAAGGGTAACTGCCAATATTTGTACCATGGCCACATCACAATGTTGTTGTTAACAACACGTGATATACCGCATTTCCATTTCCATTCCACAAATTTCATATTTTTAACCTCCTTTTAAGGCCCTTATTGCTTCTATTCCATAAGAGGACTTTTCCTCACATCTTCTACACATATACATGCATATTGCATACGTTACATATAGATGAATCCATACATTCCACACATCTTTATATTATTAAAATATCGAACAAACATTTATTTCCATCCCAAAAATATATACACGTATATATAAACATCACCATACACGATCCTATCACTGTTTTTCCTTGTGTGTCCATCCATATATTCCTTCTACCTTCCAAATCTCATTTTCCTTTTAGTTTGAGGGCTTCTCATACCTATGCATCGAAACCAACAACTTCACAACATGTGGTGTTGTCCTACGGATCCACTTCATAAGGGACGCCTAGGTGCTCCATTGAAACCCCTATAGGCATCACCTTTCGAGGATCTCCATCGTAGAGAGTGTTTGCTTAGGTGGCCAAGTGCATCATCATGCAACCTCATTTATGCCACAAATGTGCAACTTATCTCAGTACCCTAATTTCTGATGTTTAATAAATGTCCAAGGACAGAAGCCGAGGAACCTTAATGATCTGTTTCGTAGGAGGAATGGAAAAGTGGATGGAAGGGAGAGAGGGAGAGATGGATGAGGCAACCCTGGGGAAGGGAAGGTGTTCTCCCTCACACTTTGTTTGGTTGAATGGAAGGGATAATAGAAATGATGGATGAGTGACCCCTTTCTTTGTTTGGTTGGAAAGAAGGGAATGAGAGATTTCATTTTATTTTTACCAGTATACCCTCATTATATAAACCAATAAAAAGTAAATATTCATTCCAAATTATGATATACTAAAAAAAAATTATTGAACTTGACTTTTTCTAAGAACTCGTAAATCTGTTTACTAGTGTGATTTTAAGTAAAAATTGAGTATTTAGTAGGGTTTAACAAAGTAATTTTGTAGATAATTGAAGGGCAAAAATGGTATTCCATATTTATGGACCAGTTTTTCTTTCTTCCCCTCCTCTCTTCCGTCCAATTTTGGAGGGATGAAAAAACGTGGGCCAGGAGGGATGGTTCTTCACTCTCTTCCCTTCCTTCCAACCAAACAAAGCATAAGAGTTCGATGCGTGTCTATAGTATGACCATAGTGTCCAATTGCAACCTCATGACAATTAAAGGTTTCTTGACTAGGTATTTAATAGAGCTTGAGAGTGATCAACCTCATTTTTACCAATGTCAGAAAGAGATGGGACCAAGTTATCCCTCAGACACATGTGACTCTATGAGATTATGTTGTGTCCAAGGATGACTGACCGCAGTCGCAGCGTTAGTCAAGCCTACGAGCATGTTGATGAAAGTCCTAAAGGATTACAGTTGCGGTTGCAATGTGATTTCTCTTCCTGGGAACCCAGTTGATCATCACATCCGTAGACCTCCATAAAAGGGCCAGTAACCTCATTTAACGGCTATGTTCTATTCCCTAGAGTCTCTCGGGCTGCAAGGTATGTTCATTAAGTCCAAAAATGACGTTCTCCTCCCTCTCCCTCTATCTCTCATGCCTCCTCATACAAGGTTCTTGAATTCCACATCGGTTGACATGTATTATCTCCTTAGATGTATAAAACCTACCAACCATCCAATTCAAATGTGTGCACTACAAATTTGAAGTAACTAAAACGATTGTTTCTTTGCATGATTCCCCATATCCGGGCAATACGGCTATTTTGTAAAAGAAGCACAGATTACACAACAATGCAATCCTCATGCACAAGAGTTTCCCTTATAAATTTGTTCTGAAATACGCAGATCAGACTGAGATATCTTGCCTAGAATTTACAAACAAAAAATTAATAGCAGATCATTAGCATGTTCCATCAGAAATAATTACTGATTTTTTTTTTTTTTTTTATATTACCTAAAAAAAAATTCCACTTATGTGCCAACTGCCAAAGCAGGTTCTTACATCATTTATGACCAAAATTTTACTCTTTTTTCTTCAGAGAGCCGGTTATTGAAAATAAGCTAATGACAAGATACCTATCACAGCTTTCCCCACTTAAAATCAGTGAACAATTAAAGCTCATCAAGAACAATGGCATTGTGGCAGCTTGCCTTTTCAGAATGTAGTGGTCAACTAGCAATAACTTCTACATAATAACATTGAATACTTTTGAAATAGGATTCTGCTGATGGTTATGGTGATGGTAGGTTCCCAACCTAGCCGTGGTGGCAGATTCATCTGCAGTGAGGAGCTGGTGGTGGTAGGGTAGGGGCAGCTAAATATCTTAGGCATCAATAATGGGCATTGTGGCAGGAAATAGAGATGGTAGGGTGGTGAATCTTTGTCAAAGGTGTGAGATGGTGATTGTGGGAATAGCAACGAGGTAATGAAGCCAGAGGGGGAGGTAATGATAATTCATGATACAGTGTAGGAGTGATCGTGGTGGAGTTTAGACGGTTGCAGGGACAGCATAAGAGATGGTAGTCACAATGATGGTTTCATTGTTATATAATACTCGTGATTGACTGACTGTGTGCTCTATATGGTAGCAAGTGGACATGTGTTGGAAAAATTAGCAGCATCGGAAATGATATGATCATGATTGTTACGCTCTATGTTAACTGGAACCTCTGTTTCATCCTAGAATACTTGTGTCAACATGACGTGTAACGGTATGATGTAGAAGTTTTGGAAAGCAGATAATCAACACCAAAACGTGCACACCGAACACTACAATCAAGTCCAATAACATACTATGCTAGAGGGAGTAAAAGTAGGTAATAGGGTGGTGATAGGTTGGTGTGTGGAATTTTGCTCACTATAAATGCTAGCCAGTGGTAGTGGTGGCAACATTAGTGGTTGTTGAAAGGGGCAAAATAACAAAGATGGTAGTGATGGGATGACATTGAGGGACAGATGGAGGTGATTGTGGTATTATTATTATTATTATTTTTTGAGATCCCAAAGCTCAGTCAATGTTAATGATGAGTTCAATTGGCTATATGGCAAGCTATCATAGAAGTGGTGAACTGTGAACATGGTGACACCATGTCGGTAATGGTCTGCGTTTCTCAAATTCTAGTAAAAAAATTCACTAATAAGAATTTGGAACTATCTTGAACTTTCATTCTCATTTGACGGAGATTTAAAAATATTATTAGAGTTAATAGCTGTAGGGACTTCGGATTTGCATCTAGGAAACATCATTAAATATCAAAATATCAGCAACGATATGCAACTACATTTTCAATTTGTATTTTTCAAGTAAATGTGATCAGACAATCCTCAGACCAAACCCCCTAGCACATTAAATATGTTCTTTAATGGCACAAGCCATATTCACAATAACTTTTGAAAGATGTCTAACCAATAAAGAATGATATTGTTTCACTAATTTAATATATAAAGACAGAAAGCATATGAAATAATAAAGGACTTGCAGTTTATGCACGGTCCTTTGATGTGCCCAATGACCTTTCATCAAGTCTTTTGACAACTATAACAGCGCTAGTCTAATGACCAAGCACCAATCATTTCTCATACACTGGATGCTAAACACAATTTTAGAGGCATTATAAGTTGCTATATTGTTTACATGTGTGTGTGTGTGTGTGACTATAGGGGTATCCGAACCAATTGCTTTTTTATGCCATATTGCTATTAGATGAACATAACAATTTTTCAACTTCAGCACAGGTGCCTGCGATGTGGAACTTGCAATACTTTTCACCAGTGCAGAAAAGCAAAGGTGCATCTTGGATGAGTTCCTTGAGGTTGTTTTATGACTTCATTCAATATATTATCATCAACACCTGCAAAAATTATATTCAACTTCCTCGAGGAGACGAAGTTTTTCAACAATTACTTTATGAAATTATCATAAAAAAGCAGAACAATTACCAATCAATTTATGAGAATCCAGCGTAATGCAAACCACCAAAGAGAAAAAAAAAATGAGACACCGAGATAGGTAAAACCACTATAGGTAGAAAAGCACCAAATTTAATTGATTATATATCAACTGTAGAGCCATATAAATTACAAAGTAGTGCTAAACTAAAATTATAAAATTTAATAAGATAATGCTTCTTGAGCATGAAATTTAAATCACTATGACAATTGTTAAGTTCTAAAAAGTCAGAAATCCATATAGGTGGCTCATGAAAGAGAAACTATGAAAAGTGATTCTAAATCAAATAAATATATAATAATTATTGTCATGCATAAACTTGTAAATATGAACACTTAGATGATTGCACTGATCTTTATAGAATGGAGCTGAGAAGTCATACCGGTCCTTCCTCTCCTGCAGATTCCTCATCTGCTCCTTGTAATGCTTTTCTATGTACTGCTTAGCTGCGGCAACTTTCTGTTTAGTGGCATTTGAAGGTGTTTCCTCACTTGCTGGTGCTTTTAACCCCTCTTTTGCATTGCTTGTAGGTTCCTTCTTTGAGGACTTCGTTCTATCCTTTGAACGGAACTTACTAAACCAACGCCTTGCTGTTTCCATTTTCCTCACTCAACACCTCAACTTGGCAAATCCACACTCAATTGTTTACTTGTTCTTCTCCAATTACAGGGAGTACCCACTTCATCAATTAACAATCAAATTTCAATGTCTCGCCGTATCAAAAGAACCAACAACTTCCATGCGCTCTGTTTAAACAAATAAACTAACAATTAGAAAGAAAAAAATATATAAAATTGATCAACAAAGTGCTGTTTAGATTCACATTTTGTCATTCAATCTTGAACAACTGCGAATGCCAGCAATTCACAAACAAGTTTTGAAAATAATGCGTGTAAATGTTGAAATCCAAATGCACCAATCTATCAACCATTGAATTCAACAAAATTCCATAAATCTAAAATACCATGAAAAAAAAAAAATCTCAGTTCAAATTCTGCATTGTAAAAAATCTCCTTTTGCACCAATTGCAGAATGAAATAGTCAACTTAGCCCCAAACAAAACACCTCAAATTATCCAAAAGAATGCAATCAAAAAGAAAATAAGCTTGTAGGTATCAAAATTGATACAGACCATTCAATCAACCGATAATTCAAGCGCACTTCAACATATCAACCGATCTAAAACAACACGAAATATGGAACTCTCGATTGTATAATCATGAAAGAAGCAAAATTCACTTAGTAAACCTTCACAAACCCCCAAATTCTGGTGCTTTTGAGGCGTAAGAACTAAATTGGAGTTTGCGAGGAGAGAGAGAATGAGAGAGAAAGTACCGATTGAATTGCTGTCGGAGAAGAAAAGTGCTCCAAACCCTAGAGAGAGAGAAAGGGAGAGAAGAGAGAGAGAGAGCGCCAATTCCGCAAGAAGAGTGTTGTTGTTGTTGTTGTTGTTGTAGTGACAACTTTTCTGTGTGTGATCCACTATGACCCTTCTTTTCTGGCAGTTGAAACTCCCAAACTTTTAAACCATTTTAGCTGTTTCTGTTTCAATACGCGCTTTCTCTCCCCTCTCTCTTTGGCCATGTTTGGAGGTGTAGAAAGAAAAAGAAAATAAATAGAATATGATATACAAGTATTCCGCATTTCACTTTGTTTGGGAACTTTACGAGAGAAAGGGAAGGGAATTTTATTTATTTATTTTTTTTACTGATAAAAATCATAAAATTACAGTAGCTAATTTTTTAAATCAATTTCCAAAACAAAGTTTTATAGAACAATAAATGGGATGAAATTTTCAACTGTGTCATTTTCTTCGTTCTCTTTCATTCTATTTATTTCCTCCAAAACCCAAACACGACTTATTGTATTATTTTTTAACAATATTCATTTATTACAGAAAAATGATTCTTACAAATAGTTGCAATGAATTGGTAAACTTACTCTTTTAATTGGTCAATTACTTAACAAATAAGAAAGTATTCGATTAGGCAGCCCATTGCAAGTATTGGGAGGTGAATATCACTACTCTCAATTATATCACCTAGAAGTTTTGCCAAAAAATCTCTAAAATTATGTATAAGAGTAAAATTAAAATAGAAGTAAACTGTAGTTCAAAACTATTCAATGTTAAGATGAAAATATATGAAAATAATAAAATACAATCTATGCACATTCTTGTGATTATGTTTATCTTCATTAGTTTGTTTATAAAGTATATTTAATTTATTCAATCATAATTACTTCCTCACCTGAACTAGGGCAATCATAAAAATTGTTTAAGTTCTTAATTCGAAGGACCACAAGTTTATGATGATTACAACACCCTTTAATCAAAATATTCTAAAGAACCATAAAATAAACTAATTATGTTTTTTTCTTTTCTTTTCTTTTGGACCAAATGAAGATTTTGTTGCCAAGTTGGAGGAGGTCATATATATCTAGAAGTATGTGACAAATTTTCAAAAGATTTTTCAATGCAGAAGATCCCACATGATGCTTAATTATATCCATTTGTCATGTTAAATATATATATATATATATATGAATTAAGAAAAATAATATATATATATAATCAATTTTGACCACCGATGTCTTTTGGTCATGACTTGGACACTGTATGCCAATTTTGCCTACAATTCAACAGAAGGCGTAAGATCCACACTTTTTTCTTGGGCGAGGCAATAAAGTCAAAGATGTTACATCAAGCGCCCCTCAAAGAAAGTCATGCAATTAATTTGATCACAGTAATGATAATCGTCTAGGGAAAAAAATATATAATGTGATAGTTCAATCTGTTGTTTGATCACGTACAATAGTAATTAATTACGTACGAAACTTATGTTTGTTCTCTTCTATTACATATGTTAAATCACCATATGACTTCAGTTTGTCATGTTATAATCAGGTGACTATTAAAGAAAAAAACAAAAAGAATTCGACTTTATAATATTTCCAAGAGATTGCACTCACAGTATTTAAAATTTAAAGCCAAATCACTAAAAATTAAAAAGTCTTCTTACTTTAACTACGTTGTATTAATACTAATAATTTTTATTTAAAATTCATTCTATTTTCGTATCTTGTAATAAAGTCAATAAAATTTGAAAACGATATTTATGTCTTTAGCTTTAAGAGATAGTTAATTTAATTATGCACTCAAATACGCAATTGTTATGTAAGAGAGTGAATAAATTACAAATTTCAAGATGTATAATGTTAAACAAGTATTGATATATAAGAAAATTTTAAAATTAAAATAAGTCAAAAAGGTGCGAAATTGTTCATAGAATAAAGTGAAGTAATTATAAGATAAAATTATTTTATTAAAAAAAAATTTATTGATAGTTAGAAGAGCATATGTATTTATTTGGTAAGTAATTCAATAAACAAAACACAATTAATACATTAAAAAATATATAAATAATATAAATTAAGCATACTTAATACATCAAAAGAAATATATAAATAATATAATGAGATGACTTTTATAAAGCAACTCCTCCCATTAGAGACCTTAGAGGCCACCTTACACAATCACAAATTACTGTGATTATTATTATTCTTATGATAATTAATATAAAAAAAAATGCGCCATATATATAAGGAGTATAATGATAGCACTTTTATGAAGTTCTTATTTTATTGGGGGTTTAGACAATCACCTTACACGACAACGAATCATCGTGATTATTATTATTATAGTAATTAATAGTACAATAAATGTGGCATAATTTATAAGTAATATAATGAGAGCACTTTTATGAAGCTCTTCTCTCATTGGAGACCTTAAACGACTGCTTTACGCAACCATTGCTTTTCTCTCATTGGGGGCTTTAAACAACCACGAACCATTGTGATTATTACAGTATTATTATGGAACTGATATTGGCGTCCCACTATTATCCTCAGGCACTCCATTTATTCTATCTACTAAGATGAAATTATAAAAGAATTCATAAACTAAACAATATTTGGTTGTTATAAATTTTATTACTATAATTGTCTCTCTCTCTTGTTAAGGTTAGAATTCTTAACTAAATTTCTTCAAATTATATTGATGTTACCTTCCATTGTCTCTTCAAACACAAAAATGGAAGATTTTCGTAATAATACAATGTTACTAAACTTCTCAAAACAAGGAAATCTCATTATACTAATTTTTTATTTTTTATAAATTTTGTTCTACTGTCTTATTTTAAAACATATATTTTGAGTTGATTTTGAACATATTATTTATTCTTGTTGAATTTGACTAATATAGAGCATCCTTACAATTATCTTTCTATCAATATTTATTTTAAAACAGAGAACAATAGATACAATCCCTGATGTGACTTGAAAAATTCTGTAAAAATTCTTGCTATTCTTTTATACTTCCTTAAAAAAGAGCCAGTAAGGACTGCCTCTTGCCTACAATTCCAATGGAAACATTGCCCTGAGATGTTCAAGATTTCCCAATGTTCGGAGAACTTCCCTTACAAGCAACCTTATTGTTAAATATAAGAAGTATTTGAGTTGGAAACAAACTTTTATATAAATAAATAAACTTATCAAATTATAGAAAAAAAATATTTATTTCAATTGAAAATCAAAATATATGCTAAAACATCAAAATAAAAATCGAAATTTTAGCTTTGTTGTCAAATTTTAATACGAGAGAAAACATTATGAATCCTAACAAAGTTCAAAAGAGGAGATAGAATTTGAGATAAAACTCAAATGAATTGAAATTAATAAATAAATAAATAAAAAAGAATTGGAAGAGTGGCATTAAAAATATAAGAATTAAACACTGTATAGGGTAGGGATTATTTTGTAATTTAATTTTAAGAAGACAAAAAAAAAAAGGAATGGATCATTTTAGGATAAAGTAGAGTGCCAATATCAGCTCCTTTATTATTATTACGGTAATTAATACAATAAATATGGCATAATATATATGTAATATAATGAGAGAACTTTTATAAAGCTCTTCTCTAGTTATGCAACCACAAAATATTGTGATTATTATTATTATGGTAATAAATACAACAAATAAAGCGTAATTAACACATTAAGAGAAATATATAAGTAATTTAATAATATCACTTTTATGAAGCCTTTTCTTTGATTGGAGCCTTAGATGACCAAATTATCCAACCACGGACCATTGGGATTGTTATTATTTTGGTAATTAATACAATAAATGAAACATTATTAATACCTTAAAAGAAATATACAAGTGATATAACTTTTATGAAGCCTTTTATCTTATTTGGGGGACCTATTATTACTATTATTATTATTATTATTATTATTATTATTATAGTAAGTAATACAATAAATGAATCATAATTAACATATTACAAAAATTATATAAGTAATATAATGAGATCACTCTTATGGGGCATCTTCTCTCTCATTGGACACTTTAGACTGCTCGCCTTAATACCGGGTTAAGCCACCCTTATTGCATTGTATTATATTATATGTCATTACAAAACCTTAGATCATTATTATTAGAGTGGTGTTACACATCTCGAATTAAAATTTTAGATATGATCTTGAACCTGATGTGGTGATAGTTAAAAAGATATTAATGTCCTCTAATTTAATACGAAGTATATATTACACTGTAATCCTTTATGCATTTGTGTTTCCTATTTCAGCAAATAGAACTAAAACGAATTATCAACTGAAGGAAAAGAAAAAAACGAATAATTATAGTAAGTTTTCTCTCTCTATCTTTAATTATTTTTCCTTTCTTAATCTTTTTCAATATATATACAAGCGTGTGTGTGTGTGTGTGTATATATATATATATATATATATATATATATTCTCTCTATGTTTTTTAACAATTATATATCTTTGTTGGGTATGTCTTTAAAATTTAATTGTAATTAGAAAATACCAAATAAATATATAATTATAATTTTTTTAAAGTATATTATGTAAATTAGGATTCTTATTCACCAGAAAGAGATCACTTGTTCATGGTAAAAATTTGTAACTTTTAATTTTAATTATTTAAAGATTTAAAAGAAAGAGTTTCCCAAAAGAAAATATAGACGGATAAGATTGAATTCATGTTATTAGGTTATATTCATAAGTTTTAAGGTTTGGATTCTATAATAACAAGTTTTATTATTTTTCTCTCTTTTCTATATTGAGATTTTTTCTATATTGGAAAAATTAATTTTAAAATATACAAAGTATTCAAATAAGTTTTTATTTTATTTTATTTTATTTATAGTAAAGCAAACACACACATTTTTTTACCCACGCCGGGGCTCGAATCCTCCCCTTTTCTTTGAGGATGGGGAGGTTATACTATTGGGCCAAATGTCCTTTTGGTAGTATTCAAATAAGTTGACAACTAAGCAACCACCTGATTCAGGATAAAATCACAAATTAAAATTCGTGAAGTATCACATTTTCCTTATTATTATTATTTGCTCTAGTAAATAACTCACACATTGATTATGTTCATTCGGGAATTTGAAATCTCAATCCTTTTATTATATTGAACAGTGAGAAGATACTATTGATCATTTGATTAATATAATAAAATTTTGGTAATTTACGTTGAGGACTACTACTTTAAATTACTTGAATTTCT